GTAAATACAGCCACATAACTTCTCCAACTCACACCACCACTCGACATCACCAATAAACAGGATAGGGCAGTAGTGAGGTCACTGGTTTGGACTGCATCTGGATAATTGGCTGTACTGACTCATGTTTTCTGTGGTTTTCTGCTGTCTGTCAATGTGAATGCAAAGGTATTATTTTTTTTATTGCTAGTAGGGTGGGACTAAGTCCCTTGTACTGTGGCCACTTCTGGCCTATTGTACCAGCCCCAGATGATAGGTGAGGGTGATTGTGGAGCAATTGGTGGAATAAAGATTGGCAGGGGAAACTGAAGTACTCAGAGAAAACCTGCCCCAGCGCCACTCTGTCCACCACAAATCCCACTTGACCAGACCCGGGATCAAACCCGGGCCACCGCGGTGGGAAGCCAGTGATTAACTGCTTGAGCTATGGCGCAACCCTTAATGCAAAGGTAACTTCCCTGTGAAAGGGGAGTTAAAGATACAGCTGTCTCTGTGCCTAAGCACCATGCCATAAAGCCACATAGGAGAAATGGAATAAAAGCTCCACACATTACCATCACTTCAGCTGTGAAACAGAACCAAGTATCCTTTGGATAAGCCCCTGGCCCAGTCTGGTCATGACACCAAAGAGAAACAGCCTTGCATATGAACCCCAATCATGCAACCTGTGGCCAGTCATTTTACTGATGCAACCATCATGGCTCACCACCATTCTTGGTTCCCAAAAAGTACACCATTAAGTTTCAGAAACCTAATACAGTTTCTTCTCAGGATGTATACAAGATTGCTTTATTGACCAACTCCACAAAGGGGCTTGGTCCTGTTAAAACGTATGTCAGTATGGCACTAGCCCAAGCATACCAGAAACATTTATATTTAATATACTGTTGCTTGCCTGTGACAATTTTTGGCAAATCTTCTCATGCCATGTTGGCTTTGCAGGATCTTCAGGTATAAATATAAAGTCGGCTTCAGAAGACATTCCTGCCATGATTGCCAGGTACCTGTTGGATTAGGGGAAGCATCAGGGGGAAAGTTCAGTGCAAGCACAGAGCAAACTGCAATGCAAAAACATAACAAAGGAGGGAACAGCAAAAATTAAAAACTTGCATGCTGACAGTATAGTGTTACCAATTACTAGGTTGCTGAATGCAGCTGACAGAACTTCTGAAATACTTCACAAGTACTCTCAGCTGTCTGTGGTAACAGACGGGAGGGGTAGCATAAATAATTAAAAAACAATGGATTATTAAAAAATCTGGAAATACCCACTATCCATATTCAACAATGAAAATCACTTAGTAAGTAGGTACTTACAGCACAACTGGTCACTAAATACTGGGACAAATATCTTTTCAACAGAAGAAAGAAACCCTTGTTCAGTGGTAACAGGAGGGTGTGAAGAGCAATAAAATAATTAAAACAGAAAGCTGCAACAGGGTGGGAAGATGCACAGTCTACTGTAAACTGTTGCAACACATATTACTTAAACAGATGTAACGGGTGGTACTTAACCCTTTCACTGCTAGTATGTTAAGTAACTCTCAGTACCCACTGGGCTGAATTATTTTTGAATAAATCTTTTATAAATAATTTAAGTGCAAAGTATGAAAATTTGTGATAAAATGTAACTAATCTTACCTCAGACAGGGAACAGGGATCAGAAGTTGTAAAAATGTTGAATTATTCAGTATTTTTCACAGGGGAAAAGTCCGTTTAAATCAGGGTTATCCAAGATGGCTAAAAAAGTACATAATTCACTATCCTAGTCTTATCACTATGTCACATGTTGACCAAAGTCCACAACTTTATTTAAAACTATTATAGGAATCACTGCACACTACACGAAGCCATTTTTACTAGCCCTGTGAAATACCCACGTCACATGACCACAAAGTGCATGTCTCGCCGTGCAGATGCAACCTTTCACGTTTCTTAAGCTAGAGGGCAAAAGAATGCAGCCATTGAAATGAATGATGCTTCATTACGTTCCCAATAGATGACTCTATGCACCCACCAAGTGTGAATGGATTGGTGCAGAGAAACCCAAGATTTGAAACTCTAAAGTCGCAATACAGGTTGTGTCACTCGCAGCAAGGATGCCATGTTTTTCAGAGATCGACATACGTCGACCGCAGCAGTATAAGGGTTAAATCATTATGGGAATCTAAAATCGATAATTAAGGGTTTATTGAAGTGCTGCAGTTAATATGCAGAACAGATAATCAAGAGTCCACTATATATGTGAAGAACTCCTTACACTTGATGAGAAGCCTCTCAATTTCCATTACACTCATCAAGTCAGAACCATAAAAATAAAAGTGAATGTGATATACTACTTCAGAGATAAAACAAAGAGAACCAGTTCTTACAAGCTATGCTATGGTCTCCTGTGTTATGACACCTTATGATACCTATCAGGCTGCAACATATTACAAACACAACAAAACATGGATGTTCTCACAGCAGTGGCTATGAAGAGAACAGCCCTCTGGGTTGCAATGGCATATACAAGTAGTTCAGACAGAGCCTGACATTCTGGAGGAAAACATCACTCCATCTTCAAGGTGGGAGAGTAAAGGTGTGGCCACACAGAGCGCTACATATGCTATGTTCACTATACGAACAGAAAAATATCTCCCTTCATTGCCAATGTGACTGGACACACAGATTTCCGTATGCCATGCTTGCTATGTTAGTTGCGTTGCAGAGTTTGATTCTTGGCTATATTTTTAAAATGTCGCGCTGGACAGGCATGCGCACTGGGCTCGCTTCCAGGTGTCAACTGCGCGCCTCAGTAATTTCCCACTCTGATTACAACATGTGTTATGTATCATTCAGTGCAGTATTCGCTTAGATGAAAACGACACTGGAGGAATTAATTGAAGAAGTATGGAAGTATCCATGTTTGTGGAACAAAGAGTTGGAAGAATATCGCAACCAGAACATGCGGGATAATGCCTGGGACATGATTTCTGTAGAATTGAATACACTAGGTAATGTACAAACATTGTTCTCTTATCTATAAGTGAAGGACTTAAAATATTTTCATCAACCCCATTCATTCGGAAATATCCTTTAAATTTAACTTCATCTTCGCGTAACTGCTTTATCAGGTGATGAAATTCACAAAACTTTCTTCTTCTTAAGTTCACACCATGCACCCACTTCCTTTTACGTTTACACAAGGAAAGTAACAGCAAAAGATCATCGTTGGAATCATCGCTGTCCCCCCACAGCACACTATCGGCCAACATCTCATTCAAGACTGAGCAGTTTCGTACCAAACATAGCTTTCTGCGTGGCCACACAGTGCAGCAAACATAGCGTACACAGTATACGTAGCATACATAGTGCTCTGTGTGGCCACACCTTAAGCCAAGCACAAAACCAGCAGGTGTCGTATATACATACGATACCGCACGCACGTAAACTACACAACTAACAATAAGAACATACAACCAAGAGAAATAATAGACATCTTCTACCATCTGGAAGAAAAAAGCAACATGACCCAATGCTGGTTCACGATTTTTAACATAATAACTAATTTTTTACATACAAAAGATTTTTAATACAATTTTAAATACATAGGGAAGCTATTTTATGGAAAAGTGAACATCACATTGCGTGCAGTGGGAAACCCCAATCGAATACCCAGCAAATACGCTTAAACGAAACATCACTCGTAAATCTACACGTCAACATGGCTGCATAGGGCAATCTGTGATATAGTGAGCGCTATTCATAACCTAAGTGCATAATGTTAAAACATCTTATGTGACAGTGTTTCCTGTTCTGAAGATGATTCTTTTGAATCAAAACATGTAAGGCGAATAAAGACTGAAGTGTTGTAAACCTGTATGTCATACTGGACTGAAAGTTATCTACTTTGTAATTGATAGTGTGATGGACCAAAATGAGACAAATCAAATAAATGCATATAAAATTCCTTAAATTGCAGCAAAAGGTTTATGTCCACTGTACAACAAAGCCACCCTTTAATCAACCTTTTGCCATACTACTCAGATTTACAGTCTTAATGCTATCACATCAGTCAGTTTCAATGTGCATTGTACATAATATGTAAAGCACATCATGGTAACAATTCACTCCAAAATGCCTCTTCAAGAAGGAAACTAAAGAACGCCCATGAATTACTTCCCACAGTGCAGGGTCCATCTAAGAAATCTTCAGTCAGGATGCCAGCACACTGGCCAAGTTAAATCCAGTGTGAGTCACTAAGATACTACAAAGGCAATCCACAGTCTTGCACCACTCTCGAACAGCAAGAGGCCAGTTGAGTCGAGCAAAGCGGAGGGTCTGTCTTTGTAATAAATAAGTGAGCCAGACTCAGTCTGCCTCACCTTCACTCTCATTGGTTGCTGCCAGCAGCTTTATGACCTGGCCAAGAAAATTCTGCTACAGAAAACATTATCTTGAATGGACACTGCACAGCATCCTAATGCTGCTGAAATCAGTTCAAACCTTCGCGAAAAACGCATAATTTGCTCATGATATGTATCTCCTCTCTCATAACATCCCGTTTCTCAACTAAATCTAGGTGGTGCCTAGCTACCAACACATTTCAAAACCTGTCCCACACAAACTCCTGATGTTCTGAGTTCCATATCTCATGTTCTCTTCCAGCTGTGTAACTGATACCAAACATTCTAAAACAAACACATTCTCGATACAGTGAGTTTCCAGCTTGTCCTTCGAGCCAGAGAGCTACCCCTTGCTGGTTCTCTGTAATTACAAAAAATTAGCTCAAGAAAACATTCCACAAAGATACCAACAATCTTACACCATGTAAGCCATTACATTTAGCAAAATCCTACAAACACACCATTGCAAACTCATGCCAAAGAAGCCAGGACGTTTACAAGGTAAGGACAACCAATGCATTCCCCAGGGAGCTGGCAACTTGTTATTGGGTTCATTTCTGGTTATTGCCACCAGTATGTACAACACGATAACTTTTTACATAATATATGTCTTGCCTGCTCCAACTTGTCGCAAAGTTTGGTGGGCCAGTCCCGAGGGGGTGGCATTTCAGGAACAAAAACATAATCTGCCTCACTAGTCAATGCAGTGACAATAGCCAAATACCTAAATGGGAACATATCAAAATATTATGTTACTAAAGAAAACATTAAAAATACAAGGAAATATCTCCTAAAACATAAAAAAATGTAAAGCTATCCTTGTAAATGACCGTAGATGAACATAGAGTTGTGAGATGTCGAGGCTCCTACATTTTCTAGACAATAGGCAGTGAGGTTGTCAGCCTTATGTGCCAACTGCCCTTTACCCACCTAGAAGATCCCTGGTACTCATTTCTGTTAGAGAATGAGTTGACTCCAGGGCCACAGCGTGGCTGGAAGGATTAGATCAATTACAAAATCCAGTGACCTCATCAGGAATCAAACCCACAACCTTCTGGCTTGTAGCATAGTGCCTCAACTATGCTACTGCATGCATACTGTGCACTTATGTTAAAATTTGTATTTCATCTTAAGTTAATTAAACTCAATTTCATCTCTCACAAATTATATCAATTATATACTAAAACTTCATATCTTCAGCAAAAACTGTCTTAATGTAAAAAAAAACTAAAGCTGTTCCTGTAAAAGGCCATGAAGGTCTATAGGGGTGTGAGAAGTCAAGGCTGCAACCATCTTCTAGCCGGTAGGCTCATAGATGGCAGTAAGGTTGTTGTCAGCCTTACATGCCAGCTACCCTTTACCTCCAAGGAAAATTCGTGATACTCATTTCTGTTAGAGGCTGAGTCAACCCCAGGGCCATAATGCAGCTGGAAGGATTAGGTCAATTGAAAAATCCTATGACCTCATCAGGATTTGATCCCACAACCTTCTGGCTTGTAGCATAGTGCCTCAACCAACTACACTACTGTGTGCCCCCTTAAAGATCTTGAAAATATTCAAAAGCTGAGAGCAATCTACAAGGTGGTATCGAAAATTTCCTGGACTGTTACTGTTAGAACTGCCTCAGCGAAAGACGAGGGGAGGCCAAGGTCACACCAGTCTGCCACGTGACACCACGCTGTGAACATGCATTCTTTTTACATGAGTGCTTTTTTGACTTCATGTCTCATTTTGTCTGCGATGAATGGCAAAGTCAAGAAACGTGTCTGCATCAAGTTTTATGTGAAGCTAGTAAATCTGCTATTCAAACGCCTGAAATGCTTCGTGGGGTTTTTGGAGATTAATTTTTTGGGAATGCCATTCACGTTTCAAGGCTGGTCAAGTGTCAGTTGTAGATGATGAACGTTTAAGGCAACCAAACACGAGCAAAACAACATAAAATGTTGAAAAAATTCAAGAACTCATCCATGAAGACTGTCATTGAACAAGCCATGAGCTCACAGACAATGTAGGGATCAGTTATGTAGTTTGCCAAGAGATCTTAATAGAAAATTTCAATATGCACTGTACTGCTCCTTCATCACAACAACACATCTGCCCACACATCCCCGAAAACAACACAGTTTGTGACTAACAACAGTAAGAAACTCAAACTTCAATCTGGCAACAAAATCCTGTGAGTTTCAGGATTTCCAAGTGGCACATTTGCAAAATCAGAAATGTCACCTTATGTAACAAATGTCAGACTTTCCAAATTCAGACATTCAACGGATATGAGAAACAGACACACCGATTTTGATGGCACGTTACAAAAAATTCACCTCTTTCATTGTGCTCCAACACTTCTACTTACCCACAGTGCCTGCCCATGACCTCCATAATGAATGTGCGTTGATGTGAGTATGCAGTAGAAACAATTGCATCAATTGCCTCTATGATACGATGGAGAGCAGAATCTGTACCAATGGTCATGTCGGTACCACAGAAGTCATTGTCTATAGATCCCACCATGCCTGCGATGTGCAGATGTGCATACTTTGTCTGCTGATCCTTTGTAATCTGACCTAAAGGTGAGAAAATTGACTGCTGGATTTAGGGTTCTCACAGCAATGCCTATAAAAAGTATTATCTTCTGGGATCCGACACTATGTAGCCCGGTTGAAGTCCTCAGAAGTTTCAGAGGAATGTACTGCATCCATCTTCAATGTAGAAGAGTAAGCCACCTTCTTCTTGCTTGGCCTATTCTTTAACCCTTAAGATGGTGGGAGTATGTCCCTCCAAAAACTTCAGTGGGTTTCCACCTGACTACACAGCATCGTGTCCCAGACAACAGCACTCTTCATGGAAATTCGGACCATGCCATAGCTCAAGCAGTTAGTCACTGGCTTCCCACCGTGGCGGCTGGGGTTTGATCTTGGATCTGGTCAAGTGGGACTTGTGATGGACAAAGTGGAGCTGGGGCAGGTTTTCTCCGAGTACTTTGGTTTCCCCTGCCAATCTTCATTCCACCAATTGCTCCACAATCACCCTCACCTATCATCTGGGGCTGGTACAATAGGCCAGAAGTGGCTGCAGTACAAGGGACTTAGTCCCACCCCACTAGCAATAAAAAAAATGGAAATTCGGAAGTTCTATCTTCTGGGATGTAAGGCCATGTAGTCAGCTGAAAGTCAACTCTGAATTAGTTGACTTACAACAGACTTCACGATGTTATATTCCAGGAGACAGAACTCTTCCACTGCTATGAGAACCTCATATCCTTAAAAAAAAAACTGATTATTCAGCTACCCTACAGTTCGACTTCAAGTAACTTCTGAATGAGTAACTCAAGGTTGTGGATTTTCTAGGTTACTTCAGATGTTATTTAACACTGCTGTATGAAATGCCAGAAGCTATTTAGTGTCAAATAAGAACAGCTGATTATGTAAGGCGAATTGGGGGGAAAAGAAACTGACATGGCAATAGCTGCAACTTACTTCATTATGCAGTTTTCTCCAACTTCCTTCACTTCATCTCTCTTCAGTCCAAACATTCTGCTCAACACCCTGTTCTCAAACACCCTTAGTCTCTGTTCCTCCCTTAACATCAGAGACAAAGTTTCACACCCATACAGAACCACAGACAAAATTATAATTTTGTATATTCTAACTTAATACATTTTTGGACAACAGATAAGAAGACAAAAGATTCTGGACTGAATAGTAGCCAGCATTACCCGAGTTCAATCTTCTCTTAATTTCCTCCTCATTCAGGTTTTGATTTATCATCATCATTTCCAAATATCCAAACTGTGCCACATTTTCAAAACATCTGTTTCCTATCATCATGTCATGATTTTGCCCTGCATTTTGGTGACGAGACAGCAGCATTAGTTTTCTCTCTGTTTACTTCTAGGTCAACCTCCTTCCTTGCATCAATTAAAGTTTGGGGACTTGCATGTCCTTAGTAAGATACTAGCATTATTAGTATTGACCTTTAAGAGATGGGGTATTTAAATTGTGGTAGTTGTAGTAGGCCAGAGTTTATTTACATGCCCGCTGCTCTAGAGGATTACATTTGTGGTCATGTTACTAAAAATGCTGTAACTTATACAATATTTGTGGTAAACGAACAAAATTAACATTGCTTTTATCTAGAAAGAATATAGAATCAGATATTGTAATTGAAAGATTTTAAAATCTGTAAAAATTCTTACACTGATGCAATCTTTTTTTTTTTTAATTTTGAGCGTTTGCCTACAATTCTGCTTTTACCTCATGCACAATCAGTTTCAGCAGTATAAATGTTGGCTCCTGGTTTATCAGTTAGAGGGAGGGGAAGTTTATATTTGTTTCTGCTGAATCATATTCTCAGATTACAGACGTTGCCTAGTACCATACATTCTTGGAACGTTACATCAGAAGGCAGTTGTGTGATACAGATTCAGAATGCGGTACAGATGATTTTGATAGTGGTCACGACAGAAGCTCCGAAAGTGAAGTCGACGAAGAACCATTATCTTCATCAACAACCTGGGGACGACTACACCAGTATCACAGGAGGGGTGTGAATATTTTTTCCGGTGGAGCAGTGGGGATAAATCTCAATGAAGCTCCACATGTAGATAAGGACTCCGCCCCACTCTGCGTTTTCATGCTTTACTTCGCAAGAATTATTCAGCTTCTGGTGGAAGAGACTAACAGAAGCTCCGAAAGTGAAGTCGACGAAGAACCATTATCTTCATCAACAACCTGGGGACCACTACACCAGTATGACAGGAGGGGTGTGAATAATTTTTCCGGTGGAGCAGTGGGGATAAATCTCAATGAAGCTCCACATGTAAATAAGGATTCCGCCCCACTCTGCGTTTTCATGCTTTACTTCGCAAGAATTATTCAGCTGCTGGTGGAAGAGACTAACAGATATTATCACCAGGACCTAGACAGACTTGAAGACAGACCTTCTCCATGCCCTGATGTAAACGACTCTTGAGATGTTTCTGTTTCTAGGAATCATCACTCAAATGGGACATAATATAACGGACAGACTAAAGGACTACTGGTCAACTGCTGAGCAATTTTGCACGCCTTGCTACAGCAACACAATGAAACGCGACCGTTTTCTTCACATTCTTCGTTTTATTCATTTTGCAGATAACAATACAGAAATTGACAGGAATGCCAACAGTTATGACCATCAATGGAAAATTCGGACCATCTTCGATACTCTAAATAACGCATATCAAAAATATTGTGATCCTTCCGAACATCTGTCTGTTGATGAAATAACTGTCAAATTCAAAGGGAGGGTGGTTTTCAGACAGTACGATTCTGAACAGTTTCATTATTTTGTCATGCTGTGGTGCGAGACTTTCGCCTCACCCTTGTGCGAAATATGCTGGAACATGCTGCAAGGGGTCCACCTCTGAATATACCAGTAAAAATCAATGTAGGCTAACAGGGGGTTCTGAAGAACTACAAGAGATTCTCAGCAAAAGTACTCATAGTGTCTGACAAATGATTTTTCTTGCATTATGATTATTATTATTATTATTTTGGAGGGGGTAGGTGTCCCCATGCACTGCGACCAGTTGTTGATCTATTGTGCATCCCCCTTTAATTATTCTACTAGTCGCCATGCCCTTCCAGTACTGGTGCTCACTATCAGCCCCGTTCTGCCAGCGAGGTTGGCCCTCTCTGGCAGTGGTCCCCGATAGTTCCCCATCCACCGGAGGAATTGGGAACTACTTGGGCGGGAAACTTTTTTGGCCTAATTTTGCTCAGAGGTCTCCTAGAGACATGAGGATCTTTTATGTACCGTAAATCTATGACATGGGACACACGGCTTGAAGTCCCTCCAGGAGGACTTATTCCCTGAATTTTTCCGCCCTTAAAAATTCCACGACCTCTGCCGGGTTTGAACCTGCATACCTTGAGTCATGAGGTGGGAACGTTACCCCTAGACTATGGAGGCCGCTTTTTGCATCATGATACTCAATATTTTTACTTTCCGGGAATAACATGTTGTAAAACTATCATGCAACATTCAGTAATTTATATACACTACTTGCTGATTCTGATTAAGGGTTAAGATGAAGGTAAGCACTAAGGTTATGACTAATGCATTTACTGCATTTTATACAATTTTTCATCCATCCCCAAAACAGTGTAAATAGTTCATTCCTTTCCATAAAGATAATTCATGGTACTCACCAGTCCGTACAAGTTCTTCAAGAAGACTTGACCATTCTGAACGAAATAAATTGGCACCTGTCAATGACCCATCACCACCAATTACCACCAAGTTGGTTATACCTCGGTCCACCAAATTCTTTGCAGCCTTCAGACGTCCAGACCGTTCTCTGAACTCCAGGCAACGTGCTGATCCAATTACTGTACCACCCTACAAAGGTGTACACACAGAAGTTTACGAAATGCTTTCCATGTGCAAATAATTATACATGAACTTTTATCGCAATAAAATTTTGTCTTCCCTTCAAGGTTTCTTAATAACAATACTCAGGGCAGTTGGTTGAGGGGCTATGCTACAAGCCAGAAGGTCGCTGGATTGAATCCTGATGATGCCATTGGATTTTTTTCAATTGACCTAATCCTTCCAGCCGCACTATGGCCCTGGGGTTCACTCAGCCTCTAACAGAAATGAATACCTGGAATCAATTAAATAATTTTCCTGAGGAGTAAAGCGCGGCCGGCGCGTTAAATCTGACCTTACCGCCATCTATGAGCCGACTGTCTAGATAATGTCGGACCCTCAACATCTCACAACCCTATGGGCCTTCACAGCCTGGTACAGGGATAGCTTTACTTTTTACTTTTTTAATATACATGTGGGTTAATTAATATAAATGGAATTCATACTAAATTACCTACAAAGACATGGTATAAAAAACTTGATCCAGTATTACCTCATACATCAAAAATTCCATATATATAACTTCAAAGCCAAATCTGCCTTGTTACAACTGGCCCTGAATATGGAGGTGATACATTCCTCAGAAACATCAACTGACTTTCAGTGGACTATGTGATGTACATCCATAAAACAGAACTCTTTATTTCTTTTAGTGTTTACTTCTTATTAACCACTTACATACAAATTATTTTTGCGATGATTACAAGGGTGAGTCAGAAAGTATTCACAATTAATTTTCATTATATAATACAATTAAAATGAGTGTGTACAACAGAATAATTTTTCTACATGACCCCTCCACGGTGACAGGTTCCCATAGTTCCACAGAAAAAAAGTTTTTGGTTGAACGCCTAGCCACACATGCCTTCTTGGTCACTGGAGAAATGGCAGCCTTTCAAAGCATCTCTGAGTGGATCCAAAATGTGACAGAAGGTGACTGATTAGGACTACACACATAATGCTTCAACACCTCACAGTGCAGTTGCTGGAGGCTTTCAGTGGTGTAGGTGGCAGTGTCCGGATCACATTATCACGGAACACTGTGACATATTCTGACAACAGTCAGTGCATCCCCAGAAAAGTTTTAACATCACTGTTCATGCCAGTGGTTGTGTTCTGAACATCTTTTTGACTGGCACTGTCCAATGTATCCATTCCATATTCTGGTGTTTCCTTTCTGGAGAGTAATAATGGACCCACATCTTGTCCCTAGTAACAACACACCTAAAAAAGTGTTATCTTCATTATGACAGTGGTTCAATAGGCATTGGCAGATTGTCAAATAGTTGCAGATGTGCTCTCATGTGTGTTGTTTTGGAACCCATCAGGCACAGACTTCATGAAATGAAATAATTCCATGAGCAGAGCCATGACTGTTGCACCATTTCATTAGCAGTTGCCCGTTCATTATCCAGAATCAAGGCATGGACTCATTCAGTGTTTCCTTCCATAGCGAGTGTGGACACATGTCCTGATCATTCTTTAACAGTGACACTTGTGTGGCCCTTTCTGAACATGATTATTCATTCACACACTTCCCACTGCAATGAAGTACTGTTTCCTTATTGCGCTGAAAGTGTGTGATGGATTTCTGCCACTGGTACAGCTACAGCCCACAAAAATGGTATCACTGCACACTGCTCCTCTTTGGTGCGTATGGAAAGCGGAGCGGCCACAATAACTCTGCCACGAGAACATTACAACTGGCCTGTCAAGGTTGAAAGTATTTCAAAAGCATGCAAGGAGTTCGAAAATAAATCACTGCTGAAATGTTCTGACTCACCTACGTATATGCAGTTAGCCGTACAGACAGACAAACAGTTTCTTGTTGTAATGTTTTATATCTCCTATTTAGTGAAAACCTGGGGTGTAAGAAACACCATTCCTGTAGATTCATTAACCTTTTGCAGGCCACAAGCATATTAGATCAGATTGGTGTATTTGCATTAAAACTGCCACAGCCAATGAGACCTCTTCAGTGTTAATCACTTGGTATGGCATTTGTTATCAAACGGTATCCATGACTATTTACTGATGTTCAGACATGCTTTCACACTATCTATACTTCAGGTCATTCGGAGGTAATGTCATGAAGCACTGTGGATTTTTCTGGGCAACTGTATTTAACCATAAGCATAGTATGTAGTTTGCAGTCAAATAGTTAAACAGGGATTTCAATGTAACTACATGCTATCATACAGCTGAACATAGTGAATACATAATACACCCATGTACTCAGTTTACTGATAGGAAAATCTTACCTTGTGTATAATGGAGGACACAGATGACCATGTAGCTTCAACAATGTTCTCTCCACCATCCAGCATACCTTGGTAACCCTCTTTGATGAAAAACACCTTACAACCTAAGTATATACCCATTCGTACCACAGCTCTGACAGCAGCATTCATACCTGAAACAAGCAGAACTCCAATTTTCAATTTAATCCTATGCAAAAAAAAAAATGTTTTCTTTTCTAGATTAACTAAATACCAGCACAATGGAACTGACAGAAGGGCCCTCTGCCAGAAGAATGAAAGATCTGTTAAAATTAAACAGAGAACAATTAAGATGGGTGGCAGGACTATTTACAGGACACTGCCTCCTTAAAGGACACCTTCTCAAACTGGGATTGACAGATGACCCACTTGTCAGCCACATACATCCTGCGTGATTGTTAGGCCATAGCTTATTTAAGTTTTAGTCACCAATTTTTTATGAAACCAAATGACTACTATTATGCCCCTATATACAAAGTACTGCATTTCATTCAAAGTGTAGGATTAATACAGGGGTAACTAGAAGGGGAAGCACAACAGATCACTGACGATTGCAGTGCAGGGGCTGGATCATTGTGGTTCACCCCTTACACATACATACATTCATTAATTCATTCATTGAAACACCTGCACACAGTATGGACTGCCAAACGTGAAGTCTGATAAACTGACACGCTTGCTTACATGTGACCATCTTCTTTTTGCCTATCCAATGACACATTGCAACTCAAGATTATGGACTACTGGTATCTGATCCAGTGTACCTGGTTAATGGGTACCAACATTTGTGTGAATCTGCTGGGACCATTTTCACTCTTCTACCCTGAAGAGAGAGGATGCAGGTTCCTCTGAAACACTGCCTGCCAAACTACACAGCATCAGACCCTAGATCACCATTATCTTGATACCATGTGAGAACCCAAAATGCCATAATTCGAAATTATCAGTGTACAAATCTTCTCTCCTGGGGTGGGCAGGTTTTTGACGTAGAAGTCACGCGTTAACCAAAGGCAATTAAACTTACAGAAATGCAAGATCAAGTGTAAAGATAAAATTAAATTATTTTATTTCTTGAAGGTGCATAGATCAGTGGAAAGACTTAAGAATATGTATATTTGAAAATGAACAGCTACAAATATTTGGACCTTTATGAGGTAGCCAGACAGAAATGGCAAGAATTTCATTAATGTCTTCTAAATTCATATTTCTCACATAGCATTAATAGGGTGAGTAAATTAAGAATCAAACTAATTCAATATTCAGAACTAATAGTGGAAAAATATCTATAAAATTATAACTGGAAAATACTGTAGAAAATAATCAGCTGGAATAGCAAGATGTAGAGAGAAGATAAAAATAAAGGGATTTTAAAGAGTTTGCAAGAACACAAACCTGAGCCAGAACAAGGCTGAAGGGTATAATTTTGTTGTGACAGTGTTGAACCTTCAAGTTCCATGTGAGCAATGAACTACCTAACACTAAATACCTTCATTAGGTCAGGGAACACATGTTCCTGTGAGATGGTCATAAATTTATAAAACTGCAGTAAACATAATGGGCTCTTAAATATCAGATAGTTTAAATGTCCTTCCAAACTGTGTTACTCTGATCACTCATAATAAGTTCCTTATATTGCATGTGGGTTCTCTGAATGGAACATAGTGGACACATCTGAGCAAATGGGCAGTGTCACACAGATGGCAGCAGTCAAGGGGGAGAAACCATTCAAACAGGACCAGTGAGCTGTCGTTCAGTTCTCTGTTAACCAAAATTCATGGATGAATGCATACTGTGAGTGGAAATGTCTCAAAAAATAATGGTAGTGGAATGGCACTGAAGTTCCATTCAGTTGATTTGCATAACAAGCCTCACTGCTTGACCCGATAATGTGTGACTCATTTGTTTTTGGACCCTCAAGAAAGTGCTACAGGGCCATATGCTCAGGTAGGACCAAGATACCAAAACTATGGTTTCAGCAGCAGCCAAATGAGTTCTTTGCAGAGATCCATTAACTGGTTCAACAATAAGAGGCCATATATACATGGTTATATCTGAGGACTTTAAAAATGGCAGCGAAGTTGTGACAGGTAAAATTTTCATCAGCAACTAACAAATAATAAAAGGGCAGAGGTTATGGCTATGGATTTGATGCTATATTGTGTTAAATCTGTGTCAATTGGTGGAAATCATCAAAAAGTGGACTTATTCTAGACAAGACTCTGTTGCCTTGACCAAAATCTTGACCTGCAGTTTTCCAGTCAGCAAGAAAGTTGTCCATGTGCCTAAGACAAGATGTGCTACTTGTTATGCCTTGGTGTACATGCCACTAATGAGTACATGTAAATACCATTTTAAGTGGATTAAAAAGTTATGTGAAAAGGCAAAATATACAATCATGCGCTTTTATGAAAAATAGCAAACATATCACTACTGAAGACCACTGCAGTACCAACCCATTCTGAATTAACATGTGTAGACAGAGTTAAAAACTGTGGTTAAACTCTCTAGAACAAACCCGAATGGGCTCAAACTGTCAGTCACACACACACAGTTATCTAAACATATCGGGATCATGAGTTCAAAACTGTTAAAAAATCCCATGTATGGATGCCTAATGAGATGCCTTTCTCCATGCCCACAGAAACTATTTTTAACAGTCTTCACTCCTTTTCCCAGATCCATTGCCAAATTGGTGTTGCTTTGTTACTATGGCTTGAAATCCTCAGCTGACATTTATACAAAATGCAATATCTTAATACTTATGGGCATGACAAGTATCTCACACTCATCAACTGTCTAAAATTAAAAAAAAAACATAAGGCAGATTAATATGTGAAGAAAAGATTCATGATCTTTATCTGCATAAGCTGATATCTTCCAGTCCATGGACACCAGGCACAAACATTAACACTTCAAATTCTTAATATTTAATGGCTTTTACTAGCAGCACTATTTGACTTTCACATTAAATTATAATTTTAGCTACAACGTGAAGGCATATTATGGATTTGGCTACAATAAATGAAGACCTAAATATGAAGTTTACTACTAACCCTGTGAATCTCCACCACTTGTGAACACAGCCAAACCCTTCCCTTTATGAGATCCTCTTTCAATGAACCTTTTGTTATCATACACTGCTGAAGGAGACTGATGAACTACATCCCCCGCTTGTGCAGACATCCTGAAAGATTTCTGTAAGAACAGATCATATTTCATCATTCATACACAAATAAAGAAGCATATACTGTATCACGATAAATATATTTCTCAACGGCTGGATCACCCACCTGTACCAGATTTTATCACCATATATTTCATTCATCATATTTAACAAATGTAATGTTACCCCATGTGAATTCATGAAATTGAAATTTAAAAATTACACCAAGTACTGATACTTAGAAAATACACATTATTTAAAATTTATAAATGCAATTTGTTTACTGGCATGTAAATCTGATTATACTGTGCTTCGTCCTTACACTTACAAGGAAATTTCTATATGACACTTACCTGTATCACCAGTCAACGGGGCACTCGATTTGAACCTGCCTAACTTCTCGTCAAGGTGACCTTTAACTAACTTGGCATTGTGGTTGGACGTGGTCACATCGCAAACGTACGAAATGTGCTGAGAATATCTAACATATTTTATGAGCACGCTCAAAGGCACAGCCTTCTGGGATATAAGTTTACTGAATGGAAAGGCTTAATACACCGCCTTGTAAATCTGACACCTTATGTAGCACGATTAACAATGTTTAGAGAAAAGAAAGGATTCTACAACAAGCAGTGCTATTGAATTTTATAGAACAGAATGTGTTGCAAGAAATGTAATTGGTCATTTGGATGACATAACACGTGCGATCTAGAGCAAAAGAATAGCAGCGATGACGTCATCACCCAATTATACATCTGGTAGCGTACTTGGTTGTGGGGCTATGATACAAGACGGAAGGTCGCGGGTTCAAGTCCCGATGACGTCACTGGATTTTTTTCAATTGACCTATTCCTTCCAGCCACACAATGGCCCTGGGGCCGACTCAGCCTCTAAGAGAAATGAGTACCAGGAATTAATTAAATAATTCTCCTCGGAAGTAAAGCGCGGCCGGCGCGTAAGGCTGACAACCTTACCACCATCTTTGAGCCGATTGTTTAGATAATGTGGGACCCTCAACGTCTCACAACCCTATGGGCCTTCACGGCCTGTTACAGGGATAGTTTTACTTTTTACGTACAGCGCATGCTTGTAAATTAGCCAACTACTTCAGTGACCTATTATTTTCCCTTGTTCCTATAGTTTGGAATTCTCCGCTATAGGCGCTGCACTCACGAGTATACAACTAACGAAATTAATGATGTACCATAACAATATGAGCCAAAAATATACACAGAAAGACCATCACATTCCACTAACTCATACACAAAACTGATTATCAAAGTAACTGATTAACTAAACCTTCTGAACATAAAATATAAGTGTTCACAACAACTTTAACATTAGCATTAATACCAGTAAAAAAAAAAATGAAAAGGCATAAATCGCCAGGTGGTGAACAAATTCCGGCAGAACTTATTAAAGCAGGAGGCGAAATATTACATTCTATGATCCGTAAGCTAATGACTTCTGTTTGGAATAAGGAAAAATTGTCTGATCAGTGGAAGGGGTCTATTATTGTACCAGTTCACAATAAGGATGATAAAACTGACTGTAGAAATTATCGGGGGATATCACTGCTGTCAACTTCATACAAAATTTTATCCAATATTCTTCTCTCAAGGTTAAGTCCATACGTAGATGAAATTATTGGGGATCATCAGTGTGGGTTTCGACATAACAGATCAACTAGAGATCAGATCTTTTGCATTCGTCAGATATTGGAGAAAAAAGGGAATACAAAGAGACAGTACTTCAGCTATTTGTAGACTTCAAGAAAGCCTATGATTCATTTAGGAGCGAAGTATTGTATAATATTCTGATAGAGTTTGGGATACCCATGGAACTAGTTAAGCTGACTAAAATGTGTTTAAAGGAAAAAGTCCATATAGGTAAACTGTCGTCTGATAAATTTCCAATCCAGAATGGTCTAAGACAAGGAGATGCTTTATTGCCACTCCTTTTGAACTTTGTTTTAGAATATGCCATTAAGAAGGCCCAGGAAAACCAGGTGGGACTGAAATTAAACGAGACACATCATCTGTTGGTCTATGGAGATGATGTGAATCTACTGGGTGATAAGATAGATACCATAAAGAAAAACACACAAACTTTAATTGACTTAAGTAAGGGGGTTGGTCTAGAAGTAAACGCAGAGAAAACTAAGTATATGTTGCTGTCTCATCACCAAAATGCAGGGCAAAATCACGACATAACGATAGGAAACAGATGTTTTGAAAATGTAGTTAAGAGAGTACGATGCTGGCGTTACTGCATTCATGCTATTAAATTTAATATGCGGTAGTGTAGTTGGTTGAGGTATTATGCTACAAGCGGGAAGGTTGCGGGATCGAATCCCGATGAGGTAGATTTTTTCAGTTTACCTAATCCTTTCAGCCGTACTATGGGCCTGGGGTCGAATCAGCCTCTAACAACCTCACCGCCATCTATGAACCGATTGTCTAGAAAATGTCGGATCCTCAACATCTCACAACCCTGTGGGCCTCCACGGCCTGTTACAGGGATACCTTTACTTACTACACGTATTTTATGGAATAATATAGGTTAATTTCCTAAAAACTTCGTTAATTTTCATCATGAGATCAGTATTGTAACTTTCAAAGTACTAAACTTCCTAACTGCATGTATGCATTACACCCAGGCGACGCTTCGTAGAAGGGCTGGTCATGAATTAAAAAAATATTATAGATATAGGAGCTCCGCCATGCTTAATCTCAGCACTAGATGGAGGTGAGTGGTCAGCTTCACGCCCCTGCCGCTTTATCCCCCAGGGAAACAAACCCTATTACACATTTTATATGATGGGTGGGCCCCAGAGCCGGTCTGGACATTGTGAAGAAAAGTATCTTGCTCCTACTGGGAATCGAACCCCAACTCATTGGTCGTCCAGCCCGTAGCCTAGTCGCTATACCTACTTAGATATCCCTGTTATTTAAAAAAAAACGATAGTAAGAATAAATAATCCTACTACACAGAACTATAAGGCTTATTTGGACTCTATCCGTTGTCTGGTATATATAAGACAGAGTCCAAAATAAGCCTTATAGTTCTGTACAGCATACACCATCGTCAGAATCCTTTCAAGCCTGTCAATCCAACTACAGTTGGACAAAATTGTTTCATGACCTTTTGCAGGAACCAAATGGCTCAAATGTAATTACAATTTGAATTAATGTGGTAAGATGATGGAGAAAGACCGACTGCCTGGTATGGGTCTCGAAAGACGAAGCCGAATAAGAAGTTCAAATCTTGGACGGACTTGAAGTGATCTCAGAAAATGAGGACTTAATTAGATTCAAATTTATACAATTTGAGCTCCCATGTTAATGTGAAAATTTCTGTGGCACTCCTAGTTTGCTAAAAATATTGAACTTGTAAGATTTGAGGCTTTCACGGCAATGCTTTTACCGGTTCTCACGGTCTCTTCGCTTGCAGATTTCTTATATTTTTCTTCTACCCTGAAGATGGAGGCGATACGTTCCTCCGAAACGTCGGTTAACACCACATATACACGGTGTCAAATCCCAGAAGACTGCTTTCTTCAATATTGAACTTCTTAGCCGCATCGCTCCTTTTTTCGTGGAATAGAAAATGAGTAATGTTACCTTGTGTACGAAATAGTTTACGTGAAAACCCATATTTCAGCAGTTGTGATATTCCAAACCATCACTCGGGATCGCCAGACGTTTTCGTATTTTAATCGTGGGAATATCACATATTTGCCTTTCATTCCTAAGAACTGTTCTTAGTAAGGATATTATCATCAGTGTGTGGGCCGTGCCATAGCTCAAGCGGTTAGTCGCTGGTCTGGTCAAGTGGGATTTGTGGTGGACAAAGTGGCGCTGGGGCAGATTTTCTCAGAGTACTTCGGTTTCCCCTGCCAATCTTCATTCCACCAATTGCTCCACAATCACCCTCACCTATCATCTGGGGCTGGTACAATAGGCTAAAATTGGCCGCAGTACAAGGGCCTTTGTCCCACCCCACTAGCAATAAAAAAAATCATGTGTCTGGTTCAAACCTCCTGCTCGTATGAACTTTCCCTGTCAAATTCGGTGTCACAATGAATAACTTGTTTCAAGATAGCTTATATCGTCCAAGACTTAAAGTGCCTTTCACTCTCTCCAAAGATTAATTCGTTAATGATATCAGGAATGCTGACACCCGAAAGATGTGCAGTATTTTAATATGAAGTGGGATTTGAGGATCAGTTTTGAACGAGAAATTGCATTCTTTACACACAGGTTGCATAGCGAAATTATCAATTGTGTTTCTCTGCTTATCAAATTTTACAACTTAAAATTATTACAAAGCTCTTACTTAACTGTTGGGGGCTGAGCTAAAGTTGGTGCGGACCGCATCCTGGCCGCGGGCTGGTAGCTGCACATCCCTAACCCATTCATTTTCCGGAGATGTTCGATTCAAATATCGGTAGGGTTAACGCCTACCCCAACACTTTCTAGATCGTCTCTTGTAGTTAGAATATCCAATTAATCCAAAACGACTCTCAAATCCGCATCGATACAGTTTATCGTAGACTTAACATACTAACTGATATAGAGTCGAACATTTTTTTAACTGCCTAGAGGCGAAGACTGGGGTGTGGTCAGGTCACACTGCGGCCCTACTTCAGGCGCACGCGCCCCGTTGGTGCCGCATATCCTGAAGATCTTCGAAATGTGTTGGAGAAGGATGGAGAAGATCAGTTGGACCGATTATGTAAGAAATGAAGAAGTGTTATTTACAGTCAGTGAGCAGAGGCATATCCTACACGAAATAAGAAAACGGAAGGCTAATTGGATTGGCCATGGAGAAGATCAGTTGGACCGATTATGTAAGAAATGAAGAAGTGTTATTTACAGTCAGTGAGCAGAGGCATATCCTACACGAAATAAGAAAACGGAAGGCTAATTGGATTGGCCATATCTTACGCAGTAACTGCCTTCTAAAAGATACTGAAGGAAAGATAGAGGGGCGGATAGAAGTGACCAGAAGACGAGGAACAAGACGTAATAAGATGCTGGATGACCTTGGGGACAGAAGAGGATATTCTCATTTGAAGGAGAAAGCTCTAGATCGCATTAAGTAGAGGAACTTTTTTTGGAAGAGACTGTGGACCTGTCGTCTTGACAGATTACTGATGAATCCTGAAGATATTTATTACCGCTTTCGGGCCTTAGGCTATATAACGTACAATGACTGAATCAGAGAATACCGAAATTGGAATAGACGTAGGAGTTCGAGTAAGCCGTGGCCTAATTCGTGGCACTATCCAGGTATTTTCTTCGAAATCCGTCAGGGAAGTCGGATAAGGCAGCCCCATGAATATGCTTTTTACTTTTACTCAATCTGTTCCTCTTATACCTTACTGTGATTTTTTTTTTTATTTTGATCAAGGCTCCTTGGACAAGTTATCCGCTCGTCGCAAGTCCTCCACCTAAACAGAGGATAAACACATACACATACCAAATATCCATGCCTTATGTGGGATACGAACCCACGAACACTGAACTAGGACACCACAACAACAAGAATTTCACTAGAATACTATTCTACAGCAATCTTATGAATCATTTACTACGTACGCATCGTTTCAGAATACACCGGTAAACATTTGTCTATATATAATAAGTCATTATGTTATAAAATAATGTAGAGAGAGTCAGGTGCACTACAATAAAGAACTGCATGTAATCAAATCATTTGTATACATAGCTGTTTTGATGCCTATCCCATATACTATTAATACTTGCCATAATGAACAATTTCAAATAAAGATGTTAAATTTTGATACTATACATCTGAAGCATCTACGATTTATTTTCTTAGTCAACGCCCTTTTTTTTTTTTTTGTTAAAACAACACTTCACTAACATCTGTCAGTCAGGAGGAACTGGGAAGGGGGACTATCCCCCTCCTCCAAGTTAATTTTACAAACCTTAAGCATTTCTGACCAGATTACAAATTTGACTACACACACTAAACCTGCACATTACACAAAAAGGAACTTCTGTCAAACAGTGAAGCAATCAGCAAGGAAAAGCTTCTGAACAATTAATTTCAAAGGAATTACGACACATTCGAACAACTGTGTGGTGTCTATATAGTGTCTACGAAAGACTGATTACACTTTTTAATTATGTTACAGCACTCACGTGTCACTGCCAGCCCCGAGAGATACTCGGGGCTGTTGTTCAACATATACAGAGTTTACAGCTATGCTCCCTGCCAAAATGCCTGCTTTCATACGAACACTGCGATCTTAGCTTCCAATGCTATCACCATGTGTGGCTACTATGCTACGTTTTCATAAAAGTTTGTACCATCTTTCATTTCCTTCCCCTAATTTCAACTTTCTCTAAGGTATACTGCAGCAAATTTATCAAACTTGTGGCTGATGGTGACAGCAGTAACGGGAGAACAAATATAAAATTTGGTAAAAATAAAAAACACAACACCCTTGGAATTGTGATGGGTAAGTCATTTTATAGGAGACCTTAGTGGACAGCGAATACAAGGGGTGCCCCAAGTAAACAAGGCTCTATAATGTCACGTGCCGCCTAAAGCCGGAACATCGAGTCAGAGCAGGCGTATACTGCTAGACAATGGCTTGTTTCCGGATAGAGACATCCATTGCCACGCAAGGGCTCAGTAGGCGTTGTTCCCGCAACAACCAATAGACCAGCTACAGATACACTAGGTAACACAGGAAATGAAACCCTTCAAGAAGGTGCCTTATAGTCCGTCTCGCTGTAGGAGGAAAGAGACCAAAGGGAACACAGAACAGATCAGATCATAGAAGGCTGGAGCAGGATGAGACCAGAGAAGAACAGAAAGAAGACCAACTCGGGGGTCAAGCCAGAGGAGATCAGACCACTGGCAAACAAAAAAGAGCTGCAGAAACCAGAACACGAAACGTGAGAGTCGATGGACTAGGCAGGTCTCGTCATCTGGAAGACGTTATTTCAGAGTGACTGTAGTTGTGTATGAGTTATCCATTAAACAGCTTCGTCTAGTCCAGAACCCACTAATTTCTTGTCGCATTACCTGGATATGAGACAATATAAATTATCCCCCGCCCCACTGAAGTGACTTCAACTGCTGGCAAGGAGACTAACCAATGAGCACAGCCTTTGTTTAGACATCTTTGAGGTGATGACACAAAATTTTCTGAAATGACTGCACAACAGATGCACTCCTTTTGGTTACAATTATAAATGGAACTTAATGCATGGGACACAATGAGGTCCACTCCTGTACAGTAGCATCATGAAATGGTCTTCATATACTGAAACTTTTACATGTATCATCAATCAGCAAATTAACCAAGTGAGCACATAAAACTGAAGAAGTGTATCTTCTGGGATATAACACCATGCCGTCTGTTAAAAGTAAACGGACGTTTCGGAGGAACATATTGCCCCCATCTTCAGGGTAGAATACACCAAGCAAGATACCAAAGTGAAAGCAGGTGGCAAGGAGAATAATGGTTGGCCAGAAATTCTGGATTATATAAGCAGAAGGAAACATGGAAGACTGAAACTCGGTTCCTACTGACGCACCGTGGGACAGAACGAAACTGCTGGGTTCTTACATGACCACCAAGCGAACCAATGGGAGACAAGCACAGCCCTGAAAAGGGGCGGTTTTGCTGGTCTACGATGAAGACGGAAAAAACGTGTGTGTGATGGGCAGGCAACTGACATATAAGGAAGAGAGGTAAAGTGAGTTGCAGCCATGCTGTGGGGGACAAGGGGGCAGAGGTAGCATATTTTGTGCCCTGATAATGGCAGTGTGCATGGATATGTCTAGAACCCAGATCTGCTGTCATATGATGGCGAATTCCTACAATCTTTTTGGAGTATATGAGGGGTTCCCATAACTTGACACCATAGTCCGCTGAAGGGGAACTGCCATTTCAGACAATCATTTCGCCTCTATGTTCAGGCTTGAACAGTAAGACAAGCAAGGAACCAGAAAGGGCGGTGCCATAACTCAAGCAGTTAGTCCCTGGCTTCCCACCGCGGTGGCCCAGGTTCAATCCCGGGTCTGGTCAAGTGGGATTTCTGGTGGACAAAGTGGCGCTGGGGCAGGTTTTCTCAGAGTACTTCGGTTTCCCCTGCCAATCTTCATTCCAACTGCTCCACAATCACCCTCACCTATCATCTGGGGCTGGTACAATATGCCAAAAGTGGCCGCAGTACAAGAGACTTAGTCCCACCCCACTAGCAAAGAAAATAGAAAGGGGGGTGGGGCAAAAAGCTATGCTTCCCTTGCTACCTACCTCATGATGGTTTCTTGGCTGGCTCACTCTTTAACCCTGAATATGGAGGTGAAATGATCCTCTGAAACTTCTGTCGACTTTCAATGGACTACATGGAGTTATATCACAGAACACACAACTCTTCACAACCACTGCTTTAAGCTCACATCCTATAAGTATGAAGGGCTGGATAATCAGCTCTCTCTCTCTCTGTTATCCTGAAAAACTCCCAACTCCTATGCTAAATTCTAAGAAATGGAGGGCAAGAACAGGCACAATGCAACAGCAAAAAGTCTCCGCAGGACACACCTTTTATATTTTACGACGCTTCACCAGTTATATTTCTAATGAAACATAAACCTCTTCAAATCAAACAATACAAATATCCTACTTAATAACAAGTTGCCAATCCAGCAACTCCATGGCCTGTAGTCCCATGTAATGGACTCCGACTGCTGTATGTACTCAGCACAACACAAAGCGCAAGTAAACATTTCTGGAACATCTGTTTCATACAGTAACAACTGCACTCTAGTAGCTACACTGATTTTCACAAAAGTTTTAAAATGCTGCCATTCTTCCTCGGACACCTGTATTATTTGGGCTTCAAAGGGATTAAACGAGGTTCTACTAAAAATTACTACATTAGAAGGGCCAGTGCCTTTTAATTTTACAAGGATAAGGGGGTTAATAAACCATTGTCACTGTAGACAGCAAAGTTCCTTCAAACAATCCCAACTTTAGCACACCAACTCATCAAACATGTGTGGACTAATGTAGTGAAATCTCTGCACCGCTCAGTCAGCCAGCTGAACATTTCCTTGCAACACATAAACTGCACCTAATTCTTCTTCCTCTTCTGTACCTAAAAAGCTTGTTCTTAGGCACAACCAAACTTGCTTCTCCTCCAGGTTTAAACAGGTGACGGGATTTTGGTATCTATCCTGCCTGGCACATTCATTTAGCATTCCTACCACAAACTCTACTTTTCTTCCAAAAAATGGTTCTTAAACTCCTTACTTCCTAATCCACCCAACAAAATTTACAGCATCTTCTATGCACTGTTCCTCCACCCACCAGTTCCTATGGCATGGCAGCTAACTACATGGCCTCAAACAGTTGGATAATACATGGATGATGAATTGGAAAGGATTTAGAAGGAAGCAGCTGTCATCTAATTGAGGTACTATCCTGGAATTTGCCTGAGGGACTGAGAAAGTAAATGCACCTACCACAGATCAATTCACTTCACATGCCAAGAATATCCTTCAGCTGGTAACTGGAGGGTTCCCATTTTCTCAAAACATCAGCAGCTCCATGAAAGTCAGGTGCAGCCAATTAGTACAAACAGAGTGTATTTATTTCAAACCAGTCTCCACCTTCACGATGAAGTTGTAATCTACCATGGAAATATTGCAGGAAGATATGCTTCTTGCTTGTTGATGTAACACCGCATATGGTTCATATAAACATTTAACAATGATTCTGCACCTTCGATCTGTACGATTCAATAAGAAAATCTGAACTTTTCACATTACCACATATATGATAAAAACCTGTACTCACTATAATAAACTGATCAAAACATAAGTTCTGCTTCTGAATACACCCAACCTTTCTCAGGCAGACAGTCCAACCTAGTTCATAATATCAATGTCTTCCATTCAGAAGATTGTCATAACAGCTCCAACACAGGAACAATTTCTGCAGTTTCCAAAACTTCCACATATACTGCCAAGAATGAAGTTGAGGACTGTTTGGGAAATTTAACGTTTTAAAGAAGTTTTATGCATTACTTTTACAGTTTTATTTACAAACACCACCTCTTTGAAACGCATTAATTACGAAGTATAAACATAAAATTACTACGTTTAGCATTAATATTGTTACAATGATGCATTGCGGAGGGGTGGGAGGGGAGGACAATTCTTAAATTTAAACAAAGTTAATTTAGAAGTACACGAAAAAGAACTCGTGCAAACATTCTAATACTGACCAAAATTAAGGTAACATCAGCCGGTACATATTATAATTTTATGAATTTAATATTAAAGCAGAACAATTTCAAAGTTCTGGGAGAATGAATGTGCAAGATGAGGCTATTATGTGACAGCACGTTTCACATATAAAGTTTGGACACAAAAAATGGTCCATTTCATTACCAAATAAGTATTGTTATCTGTGACACACAAACACTGTTTCTGACATAAAAAAATAAGTTTGCAAACTAAATCTGTAATTGAACCTCACAATATTTAGGCCTTACAGGTAAAAGGCACATACACTGTATACAAAAAGAAAAAATCACAACAAAACATATTCCACATAATTTCTGAAGTAGGACTCTGTGAATAGCAAATCAATTTTGTATGAATTACTAGAACATTCAGTACTTAGGTTATATTTTCTTGGGATACGCATTTTTTAAATCTCCGAAGGACTACAAGGAACTGGTGAGTCATTTAATAATTACATTTTACAATGTACACATGAAAGCCAAAAATATATACATATACTACTGGGAAACTGAAGTAGGTGGAAAGATTTAATTTAAATGTGGTGTGTGGTGCTTGAGGCTTGCCTTTTGAAGCCTACAAAAGTGATCCAGAAGTCTATAAAGGATTCTGAGTGCAAAGCATCTTGTTTTTACTAGCAAACAGATACAACTGTCTAAAACTTGTTCACGCATACAGTACTAGCTACCATTTGTCTCTTCTGTACCATAAACTAATATTACCTTCCACCAGTAAGAGTCTGCGCTGCACAGCCATTTTCATTTTAATCTTTGCTGCTTATTCTTTCCATATTTTACAAAAAACACAGTACTTCAACACCATCCTAGCAAAGAAGAAAATGAATTTAATTTTTCTTGCACAAACTTGCAAGCTGCTCTGGAAGAAAATGGACCAAGGGAAAATGGTTTTCATATGCTATCTTACAAGATCTGATGGCCACAAGTGACTTTGAGCAAATCTGGAGAACCTATACATGTTCCGAACACTAGCATCATAGGAGGAATCACAATAGTGCTTAACTTTCAAAAAGCTACAATAAAATATGATTACATTACACCCAAATCCCTCTCCCTTAGCAAAACAATTAAGAACAATGAAGATGGGGTAGCCGGAAAGGTGAAGGACACCATACCCAGCAAATCCAGGAGACAACATTGACTCATACACAAAACAACTCCGAAACAACCAGCAGTGGAGACATGGGAACTTGAAAATGTACGACATTTCCAATTAATTTATTAAAATCTCGACAGTTGAACAAATTAAACATATTTTAACATTTACCAGAAATGTGTTCCACAGTATGGGGAGGTAATATGGCAGATGTATAAGGATTAGCAAATTTCTATTACTTTAAACATTACTTAGTATTTAATGAAAAGAATGTCTAAAAAATCAATAATTATGGTTCACAATTAGTTCTAATATAAATAATAGGCTCCAAAATTTCCTTACATGTTTATTATTTTGCACATCAATTTCAATAATTTGGCTTTGTAATGACTCCTCAAGGCAATAATAAAACATCTGGCGAGTTCCTTTTCCTTACAGTATGGGATAGAGAGAAAAAAAATGCAATGACAAATTTGACAATAAAGACAAAATTACACACAACTTTTACAACTGCACTTCACTTGTAGCAAGTAGCGGTAATATTCCAAGGGTACTTGGTCTTCCAATGAACCAGGGCTTCATTTCCAGCACAAGCACTCACATCCTGTTCTACGGCAATGTTACATTTCATTAATCCCTACTGAACTTTTGGCATAATTTAGAAATGAGAATAAATTACATTTATAATAGAAAAACCATATGCTACAACCCACCTGACTTCCAAATAATCCATGACAACATAGCCTATTAAAACTAATCAACCATGATGTTATGCAATATGCTACACTCTTTTTGATACCATTTTCGTACTAGAAACATGTGGCTCTTGGTTACTGTTAATTAAAAAACAGAAAACTGCATGCGACTTATGTAGCATTTTTGAGAAAAAGAGAAAGGTTAGCCTTTGCAAGAAATGCTACCCTTTCGATATAGTTCAGTTTTACTTTATGAAAATGTGGAACATTGTTCAGTATGCAGACTTGTAAGTTTACCTTAAATGTGTTTGTGTGTAGATGTGTATGTGAATTTATTGTATTCCTGTAATAAATTCACATACATATCTACACACAAACACGTTTAAGGTAAACAAGTTTATATATATATATGTATATATATACCGACTTGACCGAGGAAGTGAGGGTGGGAGGGTTGGGAACAAGAAAGGAATGGGCAGGGAAGGAATAAGAATTAGAGGAAAGAAAGTTTTTTTTTTTGTTTTACATAATTATGTGGAACGGGGATTCGGGGGTTCTTCGAGAGGGCCTGATCAGTTATCACCGCCCTCTTGAGGTTCATCTCCATCCCCTTGCGTGTCGGAGGTCCAGAGTGTGAGGTTGTCCCTCAAGAGTTGCATGATGAGCGTGGAGTCCTTGTAACTGTCTTCATTCAACGTGTCAAGTTCCGCAATGGCATCGTCGAAGGCCTAAGAACACAGATTAAAGTACTCTTTCACTTCTAAGCATAGGCTACATAGTATAAAGAATAGCATATGGCCCAATGAGTTATATTAACACATGATGAAATCACATATATCTCAAAAACATTTACAAGTTACAAGGCAATGAAAACAAATTTATTTAACGTCTGACTTACACTACACAAGGACCATTTAACCTTAGGATTTAGAAGTACAACAGTTTGTGGTCAATCAGAGTGGTCACATGAGCCAGGACAATTCCAGCACTGAATCTGCAGGTTTAAATCTCTTCTTCAGCTTAAAATGTGTTCCCCAAAACTAGAGGCTGTTCTATCTGGAGCATAAAATGTCAACCTTACATCTTTAAATGCTGCCTAACGGCCATCATTTAGCTCCCACCACAATTATTTCTATCTGAAACTCGTGTTCAGTATGTGTAAGTCATGTTAACATCACAATAAAATAAAGTGCGTTGGGACGACATGACCAACAATTAACATAACTACAAAGCCATCAGAATGAATTCTAGACCACAGCAGCCGATCTAGTATAACGAACATCTGAGTGAAGTAGCAGTCCAGTTAAGCTAGGAAACTCAGCTTAGTACAAAATGAACAAATACAGTATCCCCATTGTCACGATCAATCTTACTACACATGGACAGACAACACAACTGAAAGGTACACGGACATTGCCATGGTACTGTACATGCCTAGAAACGGAAGTGACACGTGCTATGGAAAAGTTGTTATTAAATACATGCAGCACCACTATTTTGCATACACAGTTGAGCATTCCTTTCAGTGGGTTTTGCAATTCTAAACTGTCATGAGCCACACAAGTGCCGATATTAGAGGTGACAGTGTGTCACTTGAGTACCACACCACCCCATCCTAAACATTATACCAACATGGTGGTGATCACAGAGATTAGAGTCTACTGGATTCTGATAACCTGTGGTCTTGGAGGAATATGCCATCTCCACTTTCAGACTTGAATATGCAAGGTGAGCAATCAGTTGTGCGACACGCAGGCTGCAAAGATGGTGGGAATGAGGAAATGAAGCCCAGCCTCGGCCAACATGAATGGCAAGCGTGCAAATGATCCTCTTTTCTCACAAGTCCATTCCCTAGTCATGAACTGACCCGGACTGGGCTCAATTTCCTCATCCATTCTTGGTCTGGCTGACCACCAACCTTGGAACATGCTTACATAACCTGACCACTCCACCTTACACACTTCAATCCTGAAGTTGGAGGTAGCATCTTTATTTGAAACACTGGAATCTGCCTACAAGACTGTGGTGTGACAATCAAAATGAGGTGTTATGTATGCTGCAATATCAGCAAATCTGCAAAATTTTATGCGTTCATAAATTTACTGTCACATCTGCTCACCTTTTTCACCATTCCACTACAAAGAATTGTTTCTTCACTCTCTTGCTCACTGTGACAATTACAGCACAAGTCGGCATTGTATAATAAAATTTATGAACTGGAAGCAGTTTACTACCGAACAATCACAAATATATATACTAATATCTGTAACTGAACATTATTTCCTTCCGCACTTCAGCAATAAGCAAACATGATACATCTAACTATTCCAGGCCGAACAGACCTAGGTGGCAACATGTAGCGGACCACACTATTTTACTCATTATCGATTAACATTCTGTGATATCAAATCAGTGTGTGAAGGTTCAATACGCCTGTACGTTACATTCCAAGTAGATTCAACCCAACCCTCTCGTCACTCTTCAAAGACCTCTCCCTCCAATGTACTAACATGGTGGGGGGGTGATACAGATGGTGCAATATACTTTTGGAATAGTTTCAGCTGATGGAACAGAACATGCATAAAGCATAAAGTGCGATAAATCAAAAGCACTCTCTGGGGGGGGGGCACACTTTTGGATCTCTTTTTGCACCTATAATGTCATTCGATTTTTCAATTGACAGAATCCCTCCAGTTGCACCATGGCCCCGGGGTCGACACGGGAATCTTTCTGATGGTAAATGGCAGCCTGTGCATAAGACTGACAACTTCACTGCCATCTGTGAGCAGACTGTCTAGAAAATGTGGGCCTCCACGGCCTGTTACAGGGATAGCTTTACCTGTACCTTTTTACAGCAAAGTTATGCAAATTCTTGTAGCAAGAGCAAATCTAGCATCTCAGACTGGCAGTGAAGAGTAAAAAGATCCATTCTGAAACGGGTCTGTGTAACTTGCGACCAATGATCCATGCGAGCAGCCTGGGTTATCCCACTCAGCATCACAGTGCCACTGCCATAATATCAGTAATCTTTTCTAACCATCTGACAGCTCACAGCTATGGCACCAATTATGTTATAAATACTACAAGGACAAGCCTCTTGTAGGTGGCCCTGAATTAATAATTATGAATCACACAATAATTACTAATGAAAACGACACCTGGCAAGCACATATCTTGTAGATGTGGACAGAGCTGGGTTATGGTAGACATTGAAATTGGTGTCCCTCTGCCTGGAAACACATGGCAACACTGCATTCCATGTTTGCAAATACATTATTCGGTTGTACAACACGTGGAATCACAAAATGAAGGAAATGGGACAAACTGGGCAGGAAGGCAATGGGGCCACTGCTGTCTACTACAGTGTTGAGAAGTTCCGTTTTCATTAAAATATTGTGTGATTTATAATAATCTGGGTTCTCCCCCAAGAGAATTAGCATGTAGGATACAAATCTTTTCAGTATACGATTTTGTATGTCCAAAGATTCTTACTCACACCATGGTTTCATGTTCTATCCACAGATGATGCTGTTTATCTTAAATGAACAAAACCACTTTTAGTCTCACTTTCTGAACTAACAACTTGCATATCATCATGTATAACGTGGGATTACAACACGAAATATCACTGTTCACCACATGGAGATACAAAGGTGGTGATGTAGGTGATTCTGCAAACTCCTCTGGAAAGTCAAGAAGTTGTTGAGACCACCGCTATCCTTTCAGCACATCACGAAACCTAACAGCCAGTAGGTTAAACTGTGAGGCAAGGTTCAGCGTGTAAGCAACAACAAAGCAACATGCTATTCAAGAACAGTTTACATTTTCCCTTCAACACATCACAACACAGCTTAATATTGGTGAAAATTAGGTCTACATACACATCATATGTAATATTGCAAGTTTTATGCCCTTCTATGGAAATAATGGGGCATTTGAACTAAATCCAGAGTCCTGCCAGACACTTTCCTGACCAACTTCATCACCAATTTTGTGCATTTTATCTGATGACTACAATTTACACCATGCTGAATTTTCATTACAGAAAATAAGAGTTTCTAACAAGATTTGCATAACTTATCATATATGAAAACCTTCGCAAAAGTAGCTGTAAAACACAAACTGGTACCACCTAAATCAACGGCTTGTATTATGCATGAGTATACTTTCTCAACTTCGTAATATAACAGCACAATGCATGGCCTGTAACATGATGTTGCTTTGCCATGTCATGTAAACAATGCTGACCATTTAATGGCAATATCCTTTAAAGGCAGGTATTCCTTGATTTGTTTGGCAGTTATGCTCAAAACAGTTGAAGAGGGGAAAACTGCATAAATCAAACATAATTTTCCTTTCTCCCACTGAGTCCCTCCTCACCACTCATATGATATAATAACTCTACTCCAACTTTGGCCAAAAAGCAGTCTGCCTTAAAGTAAGTACTACTAATTCAAACTCACATAAAAGGAAGAGTGCCTGCACTACAGTTTCACATTACACAATGAAGACTTTAGATTACACTGCATTGCAGCTGCAAAACTGAAAATGTGGCATACGTACTATAATGGAAGCTGCCACAGAACTGTACGATGTTAGCACATCAAAGTGACAACGTTCGGCTTGGCTTATCATACATATAATAATAAGACACCCTTCACTTGCCACCAAGAAGTCACAACTATGGCAAGCATCTTTAACTGTAGAATGCCAGGTAAAGCTGGACGGCTGAGTAGAGTGTTACATTTGCCTGCTATCATTCCTTCCATAGTTAATTGATTATGGAACTTACTTCATTCCAGCCTTAGAGTTCACAGAAGCCTACAATGTTTCACACATGCCCACGTTTTTAGTTCCTTAATGTAAAACTGAACAGAAACAAAAATTGAAAATCATTATTAAACTATTCAAACACCAAACCAAGGATAAAAATAAATGACATACTGCTAAAGGCAGTAACTGTGCTTAGATCAGTCAAAGCATGAAGACAGATGGTGGGTGACTTAAGTATGCTACCTTCACTTCATTCTCCCCCTCCGTCAGAAGAATGTGCAAGTGACAACTGATGGCAGAGCAACAATGCACACAGACAGGAGGGGAGAGAGCCTCTTTTCCGTCTCTCCTGACTGCAGTGCTCGAACACTGCCACAGATCCTAAACACTGGTATCAGGGTGCAATGTTTTAATGGAGTTAGGGTGCAGTCACTACATTTCAAAACTTTGAAAATTACTCTTACTTGTCGATATATACTATAATTTCCTTCCCAATATAAAGACAGATTTATGTCTTAAATACTCAATTTTCCACGTGAACACAATTCACAATTATATGTTAATATGAAGTATCTACCACACCAGAATGCAGTTAAGAGGTTATAAGAGGAAACTCCATGCTGTGGTTACTTGTTATTTTACAATACAATTCATTAAATGCAAGGTTTCAGATTGTGTAGTAAAATAGAGAATAATTTTTGAGAAATGGATCTGTAGTGTTCACAATAACCAGGTATTAGAAAGGGGATAAAAGAGAACTCTTATAAACGTTTTAAAAAATATTACATACACGCAGAAAAACATAAATTTAACATTCAATATTGAAAACATCAAAATGGCCAAAACTTGGGCAATTTTCACAAACTGAAAATACATGGCTGATGGGACTTGAACGCCATTAAGTTTCCTTCTGGTGTAATTTTACAAAGTTTAGAAACTTTTTTTTTATTTCAGAGCAGGACTACATATAGTACTAATTCAGCTTTCTGTAGTCAATTGATGAATACGATGCAGACCAAAGTACGAAAGTTTAAGCCAGCATTAGTCTCAATCCAGGCTGGCCAGCACAATTTCTCTTCTCTCTATGGGATAATTGCAGCATACAGGAACCCGAATGATGTTCATTCTTGAAATGATTCAAACACATTACTTTGCCATCAGCCACCGCATTACAATGAGAACCTATTAAAATTGTGGTTAGAAATACTGTTTCACAACATAATTTCCGTGCCACAAAGAAACCACACATGAAAGAAATGTCTGCAGTCTCTCTGGAAATCATTGCCTTCTATATTTCAGTTCATTAACCGCACTATTCATTTCATTAGAAGTTTCCCAGTCTTTAGCGGGGCATCAGCTATATATAAATTTTACAGGAATTTCATTTACATCAACAATCATAATCCAGTTTCTCTATTTTACTGCCAAGTCACAGCAAACACTACCGGCGGATGGGACAAACACACAAATGTAACACTCCATGTTCATGGCCAATGAGCTGTCCTACCTGTTTAGCAAGATGGCAAGCTCTTGCAGGTGAATTGATTATCTCATAATAGAAAACCGAGAAATTGAGGGCTAAACCCAAACGGATTGGGTGTGTTGGCTGCATTTTTGACTTTGCAATGTCGAAGGCTTCCTGGTAAGCTTTCTGTGAATCCTCCACTACCGCTGGCAAGGCAAACAAATTTAAAAGATTGTGAATATTAGTCAAGCACCTTAGGTTTTGAATACTACGGTGGGAGTCCTGGAGGCGTACCATTTGTTCCTTTCAACCAGCCCCGCTTCAGCACACTGTTCCTAAATGGAGAATTGAGGACTGATAAAACACTACACATTCAGTACAGACAGGATCCAGTGAAAGTCTTCAGTTCCTTTACAATCATCAAACGTGGAACGTTATGCTATAATTTTCTACAAATCAAGAAATAATGGATTACAAAGCATAGGCTGAATCATGGCTGTTCTGAAAGTAGTTCTAGTTCCTAATACAAAAAGACAAAGCGACAACCAACCTGTTTCGCCAACTGGCACGCTTTGTCTGGCGAATTGAGGATTTCATAATAGAAGACGGAGAAGTTTAGTGCCAGGCCAAGCCTGATTGGGTGAGTGGGCTGCATTTTAGCCTTGCTAATTTCAAATGCGTCCTGGTACGCCTTCTGTGAGTCTTCCACTACAGCTGAAATTGCATTTAAATCATTACAAACATGAAAACAAATGAAATCAACTTACCTTCCCAGAATACATTAAGTTCTAAATACCTACATATTTTCAGCACCCATCTTCACCAAATACACAGAGAACACAGTAAGATGTCTAGACAATATTTTACAACTAGTAACTCTGGAAGAATTTATTTAAAACAAAGGTAATACAGTTTCTCAAACAATCTTTATCCAAAATTCCACTACTGGAGAACCAACACAAAAGTAATTTTGCAAAATTTTCAACTTCTACTGCTGAGTGTGGATTGTACCAACATGGCTATAAATAAGAAAGCTGTCCCAGCTATCATTCAGCCGAATATGGTAAATCTTGAACTAATACTACATATGTCATTATCTTCACCATGAATGAAAATAAGTGATGATATTGAGATTTTTACAAACAGGGGCCGTGCAGGAATGCAGACATAATTCTGAAATGGGTAATACTTCATGAAAGTGTGAACATTAAGTGAAAGTAATTTCTAACAACAGTAGTTATGTACTGTTGAGTAAAACTAAGCACACTTCTGGGAATACTTCAAAACGACAGGTTTTGGCCTGCACACAACGAATGCAGAACACGTCCCAATTCCACACGAGACATTTTCAATTCTATGAACCATCAGTCCTATGTTGGGGCACTACCACAAAAGCTTCATTTACCATTTCTAGCCATTTCAAAATCACATCACACATGAACGCAAACAATAAGATAACACAAACTATTCTTTACACATGAACACCATTCCACTTTGACCTCACAAACCACTATCTTTTCAAACATCAAAAATTATATATTCAAGTGGAGCACATGGTAGTGTACTTGGCTTAGACATTATGCTACAAGACGGATGATCGCAGGTTCGAGTCCCAATGAGATGGACTTTTTTTTTTCAATTGACCTAATCCTTCAAGCCGCACTATGGCCCTGCGATCAACTCAGCCTTTAACAGAAATGAGTACATGGAAGCTTTGTTGGGGGGGAAGGGCAGGCCCCACATAAGGCTGACCTCACCACCATCTGTAAGCCAAATGTCTAGAAAATGTGGGAACCTCGACGTCTCATAACCATATGGGCCTCCACGGCCTGTTACAGGTATAGCTTCTTCACCTTTCTATATATCCCACAGATCATACAGATCCTGTACAGCACATCAAGTCTGTAGACTGTGGCTGGTCGTTATGCTGCATTACCGACTGCTGTTACACCACTTTACAACTGAACCTTTCATTGCAATTACTGCACTGATTATCTGATGCGAAGGCCGAAGATCAACAAATTAAAATGAGTAAGCTTGACTCTAGTCGAGGAGGATGAGGTGAGCAGGGCATGTAGCACAAATGGGGGAGACGAGGAATGCATAAAGGATATTGGTGAGAAAGCCAGAAGGAAAGAGACCACTGGGAATACCAAGGTGTAGGCGGGGGAACAATATTAAAATGGATCTTAGAGAGATAGGATGGGATGATATGGATTGGATTGGTCTGGCTCAGGATAGGGACCAGTGGAGGGCTCTTGTGAACATGGTAATGAACTTTCGGGTTCCATAAAATGCTGGCAAATTCTTGAGTAGCTGCAGAATTGGCAGCTCCTCAAGAAGGGCTCAGCTCCATGAGTAAGTAAGCAAGCTAATTTACATGTCCATCACATTTTTCATAAAATTTCTGCCAACTGCGAGCTTTCAAAGCTCAATGCAGGTTTGACAGCTGCCAAACCTGTCAAATGAACTGGTTTACATCTTCTGACAGGATTATATGGCGAGGAGATCGTTTATTTCTAAATTCTCAACTATCCTGACCAATGTCAACATCCAATCTCTCTATACCTACCTGCAAGCCCTCCCACCAACCAACCCAGCTCAAGCTGTCATGTTTTTAAGCTGTATCTGTGAGGCGCTTCACTATCCCGATTTAACATTTTCATGCTTTTCTTCAGTCCTTCCAAGCAAATTTCAGGACAGAACCTCATCCCTCTTCAGTCCAAGTATTCTCCTCAGCAACCTATTCTCAAACACCTTCAGTCTATGTTCCTCCCTTGTAGTGAGAGACCAAGTTTCAAATGCATACAAAACCGCAGGTAAAATTACTTTCATAATTCTAATTTTTACGTTTTTAGACAGCAGACGAGAATAAAAAAGGTTCTGCACTGGATGGTAGCAAGCGTTACTCGAATTCAATCTCTTAATTTCCTCCTGACCAGAATTTTGATTTGTTACCGTCGTCCCCAAATATCTGACCTGTGTCACAATTTTCAAAACATCTGTCAGCTATCTTCATATTATGATGTTGCCTTACATTTTGGTGATGAGACTGCAACATATACTTGGGTTTCCTCTGTGTTTACTTTTAGACCAAGCACCTTATTAGCGTCAATTACAGTTTCTGTAATTTCGAGCCTGGATACCATAGTTGGTACAGCGACCGGCTACGGGCTGGACGACCGAGGGCTCGGAGTTCGAGTTCTCGTAGGGGCAATATGTCTTTTCTCCACGTCGTCCAGACCGGCTCTGGAGTCCAACCAGCCTCTTATCCAATGGGTACCTGGAGCTTTTCCTGGGGAGTTGGCGGTCGGGACGCATCTCCTTGTTTCTTGCTTAAGGTAATTTTGGAGATGAAACATAGACAAATGTTTACCCATACAAATTTTACTTAAGTTTTCATTTAAACATATTATAGCGAAGAATACAGATTATAATATAAAGTTTTTCCATTACGCATTTTTCGCCAACCGCATATCACTCCCGAGAACCACGTTCTTGAAGCCCATGTAATTGCTTCCCCTGAACAGAAGAAATGCTGGGATGAACAGTTAGTTCCCTTTTGCATGTGTAGGATTTGTGGTTATTTCGGTGGCTACGAATGTTAACTGTCTTTTGTGATATGATGCCCTGTAGCTTGGCTGAGAACCGCTACCTCCATATTCTGGGTCACTCTTCTGCTCTGAAGTCGTAGGCTACGGCTTATTCCGAAAATACATGGCGCCACTTCCCTCTGCGTGTTTCACCGGCTGACTGGGACTATTCTACACCTACATTTAATGCTAACGGGACAGAGTTGCAAACCCACCACCGGCTTCGGCCAACCTCACACAGGCAACTCGTTTTCTGCACTACAATCATCACACTATACGCAGCTACAAATATGTGACGTCAGCACTCTGCCTTCGACGTTCTGCGAGTTACTGCTCTAGAGAGTGAAATGTTTTATGACCCGACCAAACCAAACGGGGAATAACTGCCTCTCCACTTTCCTCTTTAGTGAGTGCTGATGCTTCCCCAGTCAACACGAAACAGACGTGCCTCACCATCTCAAAGCACTGGCTAGAACACTACCGCTCGTGTAATGCTTCCAGCACTCTTTAACATACTGCACGCCATGTGCTCGTGCCGCCGAACCAACATACCACATGAAGAGGGCAGCGTTTCTCGGCGTAGAAATGCCTCGCGGCATTTTATTTTAACTTTAAAGAGCATTATCTTCTAGGGACGCCGTGTAGTCCGTTCATAGCCGACCGACGTCGTGGCGGAACATGTCACCTCCATCTTCAGGTTCGAAGAATAGGCCGAGCAAGAAACCGGCGTGAAAGCCGTCTCCTTGCCACCCGATTTCATGTTCGGCTTATTCCTCGAACCTGAAGATGGAGGCGATATGCTCCTCACAAATGTCGGCTGACTTTCAACGGACTACACGTTATATCCCAGAAGACAGCACTCTTGAGTACCACCGCTGTGAGAGCCTCAAATCGTACTTCTCTTCTTGACTTAAATTAAACGCCCGGTCACTGAATGTTTTTCCCCCACATCTTTTCACTAACCACAGTTGCCCTCTTACTGGCTAGCATCTTCCACCTCTTTCCATTCTCGTCCCAGGGACGGCAGGGCTACTTTAACAGCTGCCAGCCACGCCTCCAAGACCATTACTGCCAAAATGGTAACTGCCAGGTTTGCTGAAGCGTTGGAAATCTCTGAAAATTCGATGCGGCCTAGCATCGAAAGCCGACGCCACACAACAAAGTGTTTGGAAATCAAAATTACGTTAAAATAACCATATTTTTATGGCTCCATTTTCGCCGCCACGGCGTTAACTCACTCAGCCATGCAATTCTTCCACCGGTATAACGGGTTTTGCTTAATGTATGAGTAAAATGTAAAACTAAAGTTCGACCAGAACTGGAGCTATCGTATTTGTGCGCCGATCTTTCAAAACCAGCCTGAACGTTCCAACGCAAACACACCGCTTTTGCTTTTACTTTCTCATGTCTTCAATTTCCAAAAATTTCTCCGAGGACTCTCATGCACCCCCAACCCCAATTAAACTTGGGGACTGCCCAGTTCATCAAGGTAGTGTTAAAATTCCTATTACACTACGTGACTACAAACTTCCAGGAAGAACCTGCCTCGTCTTGCTGTAGTAACAATGTTTTCGCTATCTTCATATTATCTTAACTCTTGACAAGCAAATTAAGTCCTTCCCATACTTCCCATGGCTGCAACCCCAATACATAAATGGAAAGGGCCAGCACTCGCAGATTACGAGTGAACATATGTTAAATAACAAAGTAGATTCGTTCTCGTTACTGCCAATAGGGTGCGGTGGGCTGAAGAATCTGACCGTTTATGTAGCCTCACAGGAAAAACTCTGCTGCGGTAAACACGGCCGGCAGGCAGTGATCTCGTACAGCGAGGTGGAGGGGCTGAGGAAAAAGTCTGATATGGTCAATTCAGGTGACCGACAGGGCCCTGCTCGGACCAATTCATGAACATGTAAAGGGTGCTCCAAGAATATTTGGGGGATTCTGCTCTCAATATCCCTGTTTGTTCACTCTGCCCCTATGTAGAACGCAGCACCATCGCTGGCTCAAGGCAAGCTGATTCGTCTGTAGTGCGAACCAATTTAGAACGATCCTGTATATCGAAGGGAAGTCCTCAAAAAACAGCTGTGCACAATTCTAAAAAGAACAAAGAAATTACATTTGATTTATGGCCTATTCAGAATACAGGAAGAGAGCAGTAAAAAAATCCTGGCGCAAAGAAATTTCAGCAAATCCATTACACGGACTGGATCCCACTGCTCCGTTCCGGCCAAATATTCTCAAATTCTGGTCAATCTGACTGATCGATAATTTTTTGCATTCTATTACAAGGTGAGACGTCGTTAAGCACGAAACGCGCCAAGGAAGAGAATACGAAAGTATAAACCAAACCACTGTCAGGATTTTAAACGGATACCAAGAGTAGACGGATCTGTGCAGTTCTAATATGGGCAACAGCACGTTCGAATCTCGTACGTGGCCATCTCGTGTGTTGCTCTGGGCATGCAGATGGTTTCTGATGAACCTATCCTACCATACAAGGAATCCTCTCTGACGGTCAACAGATTAATAGAAACACTAATTGCATTTTGTTACGTAAGACGATGAGAAACGAGACCCAGAGAGACGTCTTCCGTTTATTCACGGTCATTATTTGTCCTGAGTTTTCTATGCACCCGCCCCACTATACTGAACGCATACTCTTTCTCGGTCGAAAGCCGGGGGGGGGGGGTGAATTGACGCAGCGAAAACGAAGTGCACATATTAGAAACTTCTGGCTTTATCGAGATTCGCATTACGACACCCGGCTTGCCTTATCTTCGACTAGCTCATTCGAACTCCCTACTAGCCAAATCTGTGGCTTTAGTCCGCAAGCGGACTATACCGACCGAGCAAACGCCGTTTGTAGGCGAAGTTAGTGCCAACTTTAGCGCATAGAGAGTGTCGCGCGGTCTGCGCAACGGACCCCCAAGGCTGTTAATTTCGGTTTTCTAAACCGGAGCCGCTACTTCCTTGAAATAGCTCCTCAATTATCCTCACGAGGCGCAGTAGACCCCATTCCAGACCCACTACTTCTCATAAAATCTGGTAGCGTGGGGAATCGAATCCGGACCTCTGGATCTGTAGCCAGGAACGCTGACCGAAATCCCTACCGAATAAAAATGAAACCATGATAACGAAAACGGAATAAAACGAACGAAACGTCGTCCTGTGAAGTTTACTTTACGTCGTGTTCAGTAGAATGCCCCCTTGCATAATATTTTGCTCTTTTAAAACAATTTTGTGGTTTATGCTCCATTAATCATGGCTGATAGGAGAAACCACAAATACTGGTCTAGGGAGCGTATGGCACTGGAAATGAAGGTTGAAATATTAAAGCTCAGTGAATTTTGTGGCATAATAGGATATCCAATGGTTACAGCATAATGCTTCCATGCTTGCATATTTCGTTTCAGATAACAAAACTGACGGCATATTTCTATTTTGTCATTTTCTGGTCGTTCGTCCATACTGGCTCTGGGGCCCACCCAGCCACCTATCCAATGGGTGCCGGAGGCTCTTTCCCTTGGGGTAAAGTGACCGGGGAGTGAAGATGACTACTCACATCCAACTAGTGCCGAGGTCAAGGAAATTTGTATCTCTATATCCACTCCCCAATACGCCTTCATTGCGTAGTGCTCAATTAGTTAAGAACAAGGACAACTTTACTTTTACCATTTTATGGTCGTTCGGGAACGTTAACTCCTAATTATAGCATTTGTGTCCACGGGGAATTTCGATTCGCTTCACGAAATTTCGCTTTGCAAACTCGCCACTGAAACGTAGCTATTCGTATGAAGGGGGGACTGCCTGTAATGCTCATTACTTCACCACGCATGGCCTTCTTCGGCTATGTCGTTATCAAAGCGTGAGACGTCGCATTACGTATGACGTGTGTATCTGGGGCGTGTCTTGCAACGTATCCGGTTAGCTGAAGCCGAGTTCTAGCTCCTAGTACCTGGGTGGGGGGGGGTGGGGGGTGCAATCTGTGGAAAATTCCAGCAACTGAACAAATAAGCTCCCTGTTTGTTGGCAGTTTCCTGGTTTCTTATTTGGCTTACTCTTCGATGTCCTGAAGATGGAAGAAGCAAGTTCCCTCGAAACGTCGGCTGACTTCTAACCGGACTACACGGCGTTACATGTCAGACAACAGCATGCATCGGGACGACTATATCAGACTTGATGTTGTATGCGATCTAGTTTTCGTGGCTGCACTTTCCCATGTCCTCAGTGGCAATAAATATTACTGTCCCTCGGAAATCCCAGGAAGTGCTCGCGGTCTCCCTGCTATTCCTGCCTAAGGCGGCACGACAATGTTGTAGTTTCCCCCTGCTCTCTCAAAACACTGTGCCATGGCAATGACGATACACCGTATGTTAACTAACTCCAGAGTTCCTCCACCGACCCCTGCGTTTTCTAAAACCACCATCTGAAGCCGTTATGATAACCCCTTAAAAAGTACACGTGCCACCAATGGGTTGGTAGCCAGTTCGGACAGCTACTCCCATTAACACAGGCCTAGTGGCCGCGCCGCTTAGTCGCCGGCTTCCCACCGCGGCGGCCCAAGTTCGATCCCAGGTCAGGTGGAATATAAGGTGGACACAGTGGCATGTTTCCCTTGCCAGTTCTCAATCCAGCGACTGATCCATACTCACCACCCATCATCCGGGGCCAGTACAACTGCCGACGTACCAAAGGGACTGTCTCGTCTCACTCCACGAAACACACGGTCCGCCACCTGAGTTTACCGCAACCAATACACGCCCTATGAGTCACACAGCGTTGTCGCCTGGCAGCAGTACGGAAATAAACTGACTAGAAAATCTCATCTCCGTTGACAGCGCTTATCACGACCACGCCGAACTATATGCGACGGCGAGCGCCTCTCTCAAAGGCTGACCTAATATCACGTCTCGTTGGTAGCCAAGCGATCGATAGGTTCTGCCACGGAAAAGTTTGCGGTTTCAACATCTCTACTGAGTACAGTAACAGATGCCGAAATTGGTCTATCCAATTTCCCCCGCCACTTGACAACAGGTAACTGTACTTAAAGGGCCCTTTTATCTAGTTTCCTTACAACTTAACGGTATTAACATTTCTTTGTGGGGCCGACTGGCCACTGCATATGGAGACGGTACCTACATGTTCGGCACCTCTCGATAATGCTACAAAGGGCTTAATTACATACCTTAAATACAAAAGCACCGTGTTTTAGACTTACAGGCGAGGTGCACGACTTCCAAAGTCGAGAGACATAAAAAACATGATCACGCGTCCCGCGAGACCCGGAACCAAGGAATCGAATCCCTGACCGCCTCAGCCACGGTTGTTCACATCTTATAGACAGATGCACTTCTACTATTACTTACATAGGCGTGTTAGCTCGCAGAACTTGAAAGCGGTACACGCATGTAATGGTCTCCTACATTTTCATATTAATTTTTCTTACAATATAATGTTTTAAATTTGTCTCTCCCCCCCCTTGCGGCCCACTGCAAATATCTTCGCCCTAAAATTAAATACAGAAGAAAATGAGTACTTATACAACCCAACCGAAGCACCCCCCCCCTCGGAAAAACTGCTCCAGACACTAGAGAGACAGCGACGATCCCCACCGGTCTTCTCCAGCACCCACCCACTCACTGATTCACTCAGCCAGGAGCGAGAGCAGGACATACAAACCACTGCCATGCTGCAACCAGAATACTCTACAACGCGTTAAAACACGCCTAGTGGCGAGGCGCGTCGCTGTTGCCGTGACTCTGACCTAGAACGGGCGAGGAAATTTCTCAGAAATGAATTTCTTTACGTAAGTATTATAATACGAAGAAACAAAATATGTAAACAAGATCTGGATTTTTATGGCGATTCCATTTCCCTGGTCCGTAACATACATACTATTTATTCACATTCACTACGCCCACAAATGGGTATAAGAAAGCGCATTTTGACACATTTAAGGTTTGCTTTAACTTAATTCATAACACCTCTACATCGCACCCAACGTAACTATAAAAAACCCAGTTTCTGTGTTATCTCTCTAAAGAATACTCAATCAGTGCAAACAACTGGCAGAACTGACAATATATACATACAACCGCTTCTCGAGGCAGATCTTGACACACTGGTAAAACAGGCCGCCGTGGAACGTACCCAAGTTGTTCATGAGCATGCGTTTTAATTTTCCAGATGCACTTTCTAAATTTGTTACGGAAACGGACAGCAGAATCATGCATGTGGGCTGCTCACTGTTAGTACCGAATGACCTCACGACCTGAAGTCATTCAAACTAGAACCTAAGATAATTTCCTGTCTTTAGATCTGACCGTTCTCAACAGAACACGCAGTGGGTCTGTCAAAGACCACACTATGATAAAGACGTTAGACACGAGCCTTAGTTACAGTACATTGCCCCCTCCCACAATGAAACTACATAACTACCTCGCCCCTTCACTCCTCAAGAGCAACCCATGTGTCAGGTTAAAAATACGGTCTGCAGTTGACCTTTTTTTTTACAATAAACTATCTCCTTGAGTAGTATTAACATCTGAGACGTGGTGCCGTGTAGTCTCGTAGAAGTTATGAACACAACAGAAGAACGTCGTCGGTGACCGTGCTCCAGGCTACACGTGTTCAGAAAGTCACAGGCACTTCCGTTCGTGACAACCATCCTCTCTTCTTCACAGTACGGCTATCTAGCCCGTTACAACTTCCACGTATCACACTCATCAACTAAAAATTATTATAATAATAGATCCTTAAATGCAGAATCTGGCATGCGTGTCACCCGTACTTGCGACAAACAGAACAGATACTTACTATTTCTGGTCTCCCCCGTTGCGACTTCTGCAAGATACCTGTAGTAATCTCCCTTCATCTTCAAATAGAATACTTTGCTTTCGGCATTACTCGCTTTGGGGATCAGGTATTTGTCTAGGAGACCCTGAAAACAAGGAAATCTCTATGTAATGATGACGTGTGCACCTATTAGCCTACTTTACTACATACTTGGGGGGGGGGACTGCATGCTCATGAGATACGTACCCTCCCTCCCGTACCTATTTCTGAATAAGCTGTTTATTTTGTAGGCCTGGCCTGCCATTTGTGTCTTACGGTATCACTTCTCGCACTCAGTAATAACAAGATGGCGGGAGAGCAAACCTGCGAGGTGGAAGCAACAGCAGTGACCCTTGATTTAAGGTCCTGGTACCATGCATGGTACGGTATCTACAAAATCTATGCAAAGATTTTGGTTTAGTAGCAGTAGGAGGAAATCTAAGGGGGGAAGGAGGAAGGACAAAATTTAAATGTTTTCGGTCTGATGGTGACGTATGAAATTTTACAGTTCTGGATTCTGGGATATAACGATGTGTAGTCCGGCAGAAAATGTCTTCAACAAATTTCTGCTCTGGTCACCCTTTCTCGATTTCGCCAGCCTCCAACATGCAAGAGAGTACACTGAATAATCTGACCGATAATGCAGTTAACTCCATACAACTAGAAGATATAAGGATAGCCGCTAAACATGAGCAAGCAACAGGTTATGCACTTACGAGCAACTGCAGGCAGGTGCTTTGTGAATCCAGTCTTTATTTCACGTTCATAATAGCAGAGAATGTGAGGCGACCACTGAAGCTGACTTGATAAGGACGCGGAAGGAAGCGACCGTGGCCTAATTTCAATTTTGAAACCTGTGTTAAGGGACTGAGGCAAATCACAATAATGTCACGGAAAGCGGTCTTCGGACCGCGACCTAAAGCCAGGTCCACGTAATTGCAACTTTCGGTTAACGCACGATTTCAAATGAATGATGAAACTGAAAAAGTCTCAACAAATCTACGCGAGTGAACGAAAAGACATGACATAACTTTTTAAGACACGAAATTCGTATGCTAATAATCGTGTATTTCATATGAAAGCAGCAGCTTAAAAAGAAGCATTAATGCGCTTCAACTTCCGTTTAACACTCTTACGTACGTGTTCAATACACGTAGAAGAAAGCCAAAGAGGTGTTATGGCGACAACAAACGTTTGAAGAAGTAACGGAAGCAATTTGAATGACCAGTCCTGCCTATAAAGACAATTTGTTACCGTGACGGCACTACTGCGCAGCCAAACTGTGACAGCGAGTGAAGTGCACAGTTGTCCTTATGCACAATGAAGCATCATAACACGAAGATATAGACGAGGAATAGCTGCACCCACTCCTAACCTCGGCACTAGATGGTCTTCCTAGCCTAATGCACCGCATATTGTGAAGAAGAGATTCTTGATCCTGCTGGGAACTGACCTCCAATCTTCGGTCGCCCAGCGCGTAAATGTAGACGCTATAGTATCACGTTAATTATCGTTCTCACATGTAGCGGCACGATTTCAGGTACAGAGGTTATATAGCGACGAATGGGCACGTTTATGAATCGTGAACTGAAAAGGGTTTGGGAGGAAGTAATGGTTGCATATTCTAAGGCACTGTTCCAGCATCTGGGTGGACAAACTGGAGATAATCAAGGAAGGGCTCTGTGGTAAGCTGCTAAGAAACGACCGCGAAAAAAAAGCAAATATACCTCGACCGTTACTTAAGTATGAACGGTAACAATATAATAAAGGGAAGCGGGAGTTTCTACGCGGTCCGTGCGAGATGTCATAAGTAGGAAAAGTCCAGAGTCAGTTGGGTTGCTGAAGAAGCTGGTAGCTGAGGCCGGGTACCGTTCGGGAATCCAGAGGGGAAGACGTCCGACGTTGGAATCCGCTACCAAGCAACGGCTACTGAAGACTTTATATGTTCTGTAATTAGTGTTCGATAAATGCGATCATCAATCCAAAACTCGTCTATAGTCACTCATGCACGTGACACTAAACAAGACCAGAGTGTTACCGCTACACCATAGTGCAATTAACATGTTATCACAGTCAAGCAAAGGAATCCGAACTGAGCCCGAACTGGCACTACGCAGTGTGTGTGAAATGGATCTGGCTGATCCAGACTATCGCACAATTCAAGGGACTAACGGATACGCAGCACCAGCTGGGGAAAACAGAGACTGCAAGAGGACTCCTCTCCATCACAAAGTCTGTATGATGGTACTATCCTGGCACTAACTCGCGCAACCCGCGGTTAGAAGTACGCTATGAATTCCTGCGAACGCCCCCCCCCCCCACACACACAGTCACATTCTTTATGCTATTACATTATCTTAGACACGCCCATTTTCTATGTCCACAATGTTCCGATAGCTGGCTCCCCTCCCGTCTTCAAGGGACCGGCTGCTAGTAGCGACGGCCTGCTTTCTATTGTCATTTTTAGTGGGGTGAGACTGCGGCCACTATTGGCCAGTTGTATCGGACCCAGGTAATTGATGATGGTGAATGTGGAGCAAATGGTGCAATGAAGATTGGCAAGGCAAACCGAAGTACTCGGAGAATACCTGCCCCCGCGCCATTTTGCCCACCACATGACCAGACCCGGGCTGCCGAGGTGCGAAGCCAGCGACTAACCACCTGAGCTATGGCGCGACCTTAGCGACAGCCTCTTTTATTACACCCTGTGATGGTGTGGCGAAATGTCGTGGTCTAGCGAGTGGCATTCCTGCTTAGTATTAGTGAGACCTCAGGCTATACTCTCGACGGTAAGACCTCAAAATAGGCCACTGTCGCTTCTTTCAGAGCCCTTTGCAATTCACTACTCATTAATCCTCCTACCATTCCACGCCATGTAGTGACTGACTGCTAACAGTCATTCTTGATTCTAAGTCACATGGGACTTCAGACCCACCTCGCCATGTAGCGAGCTAATTACAGTTGTGATGAAGGGGCTGCGACGATTTGAACAGCAGGTTAACCATTTGGGCCAACCCAGCGATCATCGCATCGCGTACTAAACTATTCGTAAGGTCTCCGGTGCAATCCCAGCCGTTGTCACTAATATCAAAAATAAACACAGTTGGAAATCATGTACACAAAATTACAGATGACGGTCTCCGAAGCTCATTAAACGTGTTTAAAAACGGGAGCAAAGAAATATAAATTAATAGAAGTCTCCCACTGTGAATTCCAACAAAACCTGTGACACGTTATGTTCAAGTGTGGCCATTAGTAAATTAGGCTTTATTAACTATCAATATGGATCCAAATCGGGGTTGCCCACGAAAACGTCTGGGCCTCCCAAATGGAATTTTAAGGATGCAATGGTACAGATGAAGAAGCCCACTGAACTACAATTGGCAGCCCAGGCGCACCAATCACATGTACTATGGCTTAGAAGTAAGGTTCTGGGAAGATGCGTGAACACACAGCACATACGATGATGCCAAATGCAGCATTGTGAACGCTGGGTCTTAGTGAACGCCAACTGTTCTGTGCACTGTACGTGCACTCGATTCGACGGCCAATTATAACCCCCAAAATTAAAGGCATCAGTATCAGTGGAATTACTCAACTTTACTGAAAGCCTCTCATACGAAATAAAAAAAAATCTGCCTAACGGTTTAGGTCCTGACAGTATGTCACTGACAAAATCCGTGTAACGTGTTCATTATTACTACGTAAGCACACAACAGAAATCCGCCAGTATGATAGTAGACTCCAGAAACGTCGTGTATACTAAATACACTGCAGGCAATGGGCAATGTCCAATGTAACAGCACAAAAAACTGTCACAACACTTAAGGAAATACCGCAAAAATTCACATATACAAGACATTCCTAGTTCCATCGAAATCAACCTTTGATGGCATGAGGACACGTAACGTGGATTCATAGCAAGACGCTGTATGACTCCGCGTATGGGGGTTCAAGTCTCGATTTTCAAATAACAGAAACTCGCAAACTGCCATAAACCGTGCGGGATTCGAACCAGGGGCGGAAACGCACGAAGCTACGTGGCCAACCTTATCGGAATTAAAACTACATACCAATTAAATATATAAATATTAAATATAAAAGTATGGAAATGTGAAAAATTAAGTATAATTTTATTATTTAAGGCTATAAATTTGGGTAACACAATCACAGGAGATAATATAGCTCATTTAAGATTTGAGGTTTTCACGGCGGTGACTATGAAGAAAGCATTCTTCTGGGATGTGGCACCGTGCAGATGTGGTGGTAACCGACGTTTCGGAGGAACGTATCGCCTCCATCTTCAGGGTAAAAGGAAAAAAAAGAAATCCGCAAGCTAAGAGACCGTGAGAACCGGTACAACCTGTCCTCACGGTCGACAGGGATTAGCAAGGGTTTCCCTGTCTTTTATAACGTTCTGGTATCTGCCCGTTTGTCAGAAGTTAGAGCTTCTTCAACTTATGACTTTCTATCTGTAACGATGCACCCACCGATTGTTGGACTTCATTTAAAATTAAAAATAAGTCGGTATATGTGTCACTTCTGTTTGAAGAGTAGAGGTCCCGAGTCTTACAATTGTTTCAGTTCTATCACAGCCGTGCTCTGAAGTGTTCGAAAATTGTGGTTGCTAGTTAGTCTTGCTGTTTTCTATTACTATTAGACTACTTTATTTTTTCAAGATGGATAAATTCCTTATACGGAGTGTTTCGTCCACGAGTGCAAGTAGTGAAAGCATTGAGCCCGAAAAAAAAATTAGTACACCGGCAGTATAGTGATAATTACTCATCTTATGGGTATTTTCGGTGTGGTGATAAAACGTGCCCAATCTCCGAGTGTATCGTTTGTGGTGAAAAACTCAATAATGCTGCTATGGTTCCCAGTAAATTGAAACATTTGTCAACAAAACATTCTTCTCTATCAAGCAAAGGTCTCAATTATTTTCGTCGCTTGTTGGAATAAAAAAAAACAAAGAACGTTCATGACCGCGACAGTATGCGTGTCAGAAAAAGTACAGGAAGCAAGTTATAAGGTAGCCGAAATTATCGTAAAGGCCAAAAACACCACACAAAATAGCTCAAACGTTAATGCCTGCTTGTAAAGAGATGG